TATTATCGCCTCAACCGGTTTTCCTTATTTTCAAAATTAAACAAACGAAAAATTTCAAGAATGAATACTTCACTGTGTTAAAGTCAGTATGAAGGAAGTCAGTGTGGTCATAAAGTAGAAACGTCGTAAGCCAATGAATTTCGAGATGAAAAATTGCTTTCGCTCGTGTTCTTTTCTCGATTCTGATTGGCTTACGACGAATCTACTTTTATGACCTGTTTACTTTTGCCATTTAACAAAGCGTGGGGGAACTGAAAAAGAGCGACAGGTAGTTGGGGCCCCGTATCAGTTGAAAGTGGACGACGAATGGACAGTGGATATTCCCTTTGACAACCCAGAGGAAATTCTGACATATAACTGGTTCAAATATAACGTGATATGTAAAGATCAGAAATGGATATGTGATTGATCTACATTCAATAAATGAATTCAGAAAAATCACAGACGTTTTCGAACAGCTGCTACTAAATTGACAAGTATAGACAACTGATTACGAGGCCAAACTGTGTTCTAAGGCGCACCGTTTGGTACTTGGGTCTCGGTAATCTGGACAGAAGCTTTGAAAATGTGTTAAAATTCTTACAAAAGAATCAACTTACAAAATTGTTGCGGTATTAATATTTAAATTTTGTCGGCACGTTAGTTGGGTCGCGGAATCCGCAACGAAGGAAGAAATCATGTTGTTGAGGAGTGACTTTTTGTCGCTATATGTTAGCGTATTCTAGGCGCAGATTTTTTTTGATCATATGATTCATAAGAATACAAAAAACTTTCAGTTGATTTCCCACAATTTTTCGGTGAATTTTTTACCATTTGTTAAGACGAAAGAGAACTGAAATTAGGAGGATCACAATCGCCAACTCTTTGGGAATTTGCTATCCTTGATGCCCAAAGGCTGCCCTTCCTTTTATACTTTTCGCGACCTCCGTTTTCGGCCGACTGAACGTTCAAACTTTAAGGGAGCCTTTGGCACCCATATAGTTTATATTTTTGAGTCATCGTCCGAAAACTGTGCCTTCGTGGAAGAAATTTCAGCCGAAATAAGGTGTTTTACAAATTACAGCTCTGAAAAAAAAATGTTTTTTTTTTCAGCAGATCTGGTGCTGACTGAAAGTGAGTCACTCAAGTGGATTAAAACTTGATTGGTATAAAGGTTAAACAGGTCAATTTGCTTCGACTACCCATCAGTTTAAATTCATATCAACAAATTTTCATTCATAGAAAACCATGGTTGGATGCTAGTTGTCATTATGAGGCCAAATTGTGCACTAGATAGGCGCTCAATTGGGTGTCTATAGGCCACTGGAATCTGGAGACAAATCTTTAAACTTGCTCCAAAAAAAACGAATTACACTCACTAAGTTTCCATGGATTCTGCGCTCAAATACTTGTAGCCTAAAATTTGTCGGCACATTAGTTTTGTCCTAAAGTCAAAATGGCTAGTTATTCCAGATTTTGCTAACTTAAGTGAATTCCGCAAAAATTCCGCAGATTCCGCAATTGTAAGCGGATTCGACATATAATTATTAAGCGGATTTCTTAAATTAGTACTTAAGTGTGTATTCCACAAACAGTTCCTGAATCTTAAAATTTTGTTACGGGTTGTGCAATTTTTGCGGTGGATTTATAGTTTCGCCGGTTTTTGGTTCGATTTTGAGCTCTAGCTATTTGTTGGTGGAATGCAAAACAGCAAAGAATATCACAAAAACTAATAATGCTGCACGTTCAGCGACAAATCTGTTATTGGCATGGTGCTGAATCCCTTAACAATTCACAAAACATACAGTTTGGTCTTGTAATGACTTTAAGTTGGGCCTTGTTGGTCCTGGAGTCGGCTCTGCATCACTTAAGAATTCCTTAGTTATTTTATTTCGCCTCAAAACTCAATCATTTACAAAACTAAACAACTGAAAACTTTTGTACTATTTAAAAAATGAATTGACAAAAAACTGATAAAAATTTAAAGAAAAAAATTTGCGCATGAAATCAAAATTATTACAGCAAGCCATTCAGAAAGATAAGAGCTTTGCATTGCCAATTCTCAAAATGATATTGACCCAATCGTAATATATTAGTAGGATTAGCACACCTATCACTCTTCTATGTGAACTGAATGGGGAAAAATTACTTTTCATCGAAACTTGGTTAACCAATACAAGAACAGTTTAACTTAATTTCAGATTAAGATTTTGCCAAAACCTAGATAATACAGAAAAGGACACATTTCAAAATTTTTTTCATTAATCTTCAGAATGATACGTCATTCAAATTACATTTTCAGATTTAGTGACTGAGAACTGTGACGAAGAAAACAACACCTCTGGAAAAACCGAGGACAAAAAATATAAGCTGAAAAATAAATAACAGAGCCAACAAGTGATTGTAAAAGTATCAAGGAACACAATTAAACAGAAAAAACAATGGCTTTTTAAAAAAAAAAATCTCAACATTGAAGTTTCTAGGATAAAAAAATAAAATTAAGCTTTTTGAATTCAAAACTTGTTCATGCTGAGACCGTCACAGAATTTCCAATGGTATAAACAATTAGATTATAATTGGCTATTCAAAAAGCCGTAAATTGTCTAGCTCAAGAGAGAAAGAACCAACTCGAACACAAATAATTCATCTCTTTCAAAATAGAGAAGGTCACACTTTCAACCGGAATTTTTTTTCGACCGAACTGGTTTGATGAGATCACTGAAAATGTTTTGGGGACAATTATTTTGTAATATTTTCCGCCGCAATTTGATTTTTTTTTATTTAACAAAAATAAAAATAATATAAACAGAACTAAGTTGCTAAAAACTAACTCCGAACAAGTTAAGATAAAGATAAGCTAACCGGAAGCCATGCAACCAAAAAATCTGACACCGATTTAGGTTTTTTCTTCAAACAGAAAATGGAAGCGTACTATAATCAAAAATATACGCTAAACCTGAAATACTCTGCTCAATTTTCAGTTTACGAAGCACAACATTTAGAGACGAAGAATAACTTGTGATTAGTTTATCAAGAAAAAACTGCGGAAAAAAAGTTTTTTCTAAATTTAGAACAAAAAATTTCAAATTTGACATCACTTAGGAATTCCTTTATTTCGCCTCAAAACTCTTTCTTTTACAAACCTGAAAAATTGAAAATATTTTAAATATCGATAAAATGAATTGACAAAAAAACTGATAGAATTTTTAAGAAAGAAAATTGCGTATGAATTCTAAATGAAGAAAAAAATGAACTGAATGAATGAAGAAAAAAATTTTCATTGGAGCTTGGTTAACCCAGACAAGAACAGTTTAATTTCATTTCAGATTAAACTTTCACCAAAACGTAGATAATACAGAAAAGGCCACACTTCAAATGTTTCTAATTTATCTTTAGAATGATACGTCCTTCAAATTACTTTTTCAAATTCAGTACCGTGAACAGTGACGAAGAAAACAGCACCTCTGGAAAAACCAAGGATGAAAAATATAAGCTGAAAAACAAATAACAGAGCCAACAAGTGATTGTAAAAGTATCAAGGAACACAATTAAACAGAAAAAACACTGGCTTTTTTAAAAAAAAAATCTCAACATTGAAGTTTCTAGGATAAAAAAATAAAATGAAACTTTTTGAATTCAAAACTTTGAGTTTCATGCTGAGAGCGTCACAGGATTTCCAATGGTATAAACAATTGGATTATAATTGGCTAGTCAAAAAGCCGTAAATTGTCTAGCTCAAGAGAGAAAGAACCAACTCGAACACAAATAATTCATCTCTTTCAAAATAGAGAAGGTCACACTTTCAACCGGAATTTTTTTTCGACCGAACTGGTTTGATGAGATCACTGAAAATGTTTTGGGGACAATTATTTTGTAATATTTTCCGCCGCAATTTGATTTCTTTTATTTAACAAAAATAAAAATAATATAAACAGAACTAAGTTGCTAAAAACTAACTCCAAACAAGTTAAGATAAAGATAAGCTAACCGGAAGCCATGCAACCAAAAAATCTGACACCGATTTAAGTTTTTTCTTCAAACAGAAAATGGCAGCGTACTATAATCAAAATATATGCTAAAACTGAAATACTCTGCTCAAAATTCAGTTTATAAAGTACAATATTTAGAGACGAAGAATAACTTATGATTAGTTTATCAAGAAAAAACAGCGGAAAAAAACGTTTTTTCACACTTTAAAACAAAAAAATGTTAGGTTTGACATCACTTAAGACATCCCGTTTTAATTCATTTTGCCTGAAATTTCATTGTTTTAAAAAACTGAAAATTGAAAACACTTGAACTATTTTAAAAATGAACTGACAAAAAAACTTATAGATTTTTAAAGAAAGAAAATTGCGCATAAAATCTAAATTATTACAGCAAGCCATTCAGAAAGATATGAGTAAATATTGGAAAAAGTCATGCAGTCGGTTGCAATACCCTGGTTTATCTCAAATATAAACATTTGGGAAAAGCAAATTTTGAGTTTTAATAGTGCCTTTGACGCCAACCTATAATAATTTCAAGTGGCAGCGCAATTTTTATGGTTTCAAGTTCAAAAACACTATTTTTGTTGGGGGCGCAAACAAGCTACGCTAAATTTGATCAATTATGGGTTCCGGCAGATTTAACTAAAAAATATCAACAGAGGCGAAGCTAAGCTTTGCGCTGTTTGCGATAGAAAAATGAATGACTGTGATTAAAATAACATTTAATAAAAATGCACAACCAGCCCGCCCTAAAGATCGGAACAAAATTACCTGTACTATTGAAAATTTACAATTAGAACAATTGTACAATTTTAGAACAATGCTCGCACGATCATCTTTCTCTATAGTTTAAAAAAAATTCCTTAAATCCCATAATAAAGACGTTTTGCCAAAAAAGACATTTTTCAAAATGTTTAGCTAGTTGGCTACGGGTGGCTTTACTATTGGTTGAATTTTGGTCAGCAAGTTGAAGTAAAAGCGAAAAGTTGAATTGAATTTTTTTTTTGTAAATTAACTTTTATAAATAGCAATTATAAATGAATTAAGAACTCAAGGCACATTCAAAATTTATCACTTTAGTTTTGAAATAAGTTAAGCCAGTGGCTAGCACCTTGGGCTAAAAAAAAAGCCAAGACATTAGTGGTATTAGTGCGTAAAAAACACATTTAAGTGAAAAGCAGTATAAACTTGAAAACTGCACTGTTGCTTGAGGGGAAATTGATGAAATAACTGAAAGTTTTGATTTTCCAGCTGAAGCTGCCAGAATTTCACAATATTCGGTCTTTTTTAGTAGCTATTGCACGATTTTCAAACAGTTTCTCAGTTTTCTTTCCCATCGCAGATTTATTTTGGCAAGATTGCGTGTGTTAATTTGATCACACTGCATGAGAGGGCGTGTTAGGGTTGTTGCGGGCGGGAGGGGGAGGGGAAGTTTGTCCATTGGGTGCGAACATGTTGGCCATTTTGTGAAAAGGCGGGCCCATTTTGTGAAAGGGTTCATAATTGGGTTCCGAAGCTTGGGACATTACATCACTAACATCCCCCCGATCACTATCGCCGCCCTCATAGTGGTAGACCATAAGAGTATCATGTCCCCCCATATTGGCAGCGTGACGGTCCAGCTCGTGAGTCTTGGCTTTTAGGTATCTGCCGACGTCTTCATTGTGTCCCGGAGTCGGGGTGCCTCGATGGGGAACCGGACTTGAAGCGATGTAGCGGGGGTTCACTTTGGGACCCCCTGACAGGTTCGTGGTCGAGTGGTTGACAGAGGGGGACTTTCCGTTCGGTATTATAGTATGAGATGCATGGAAAGGGGGAGGGGTTAAGGATGGCACGTGATTGACAGGTTTTCGGAGTTGGTCTAGAACGAAGTCTGCGTCGTCTTCGCCTCCACCCTCGACTACTTTTTTACCCATGTTCTGATCGTGGAAATCCAGATCGTCGGCCGTGAATGCTTTCGCTTTTTTGCCCGCACGGCAGTAGCAGAACAACATCAGAATCACTAAAAAAGAAAAGAATTAAACTGTTTCAGAGCAAACTGTTTCTGATAGTTTGACTTCACAAAAACAGCACCAAACGTTACCGCTCCACAATAAATTTTGGTTACAAAAACGAAAGCAAAATAAATTAAATTATACATTTTTATAACTTTCGTTTTGCTTATGATTTTTTGAATAAATTTTGAGGGTGTGGCGGGGCTAAAGAATTAGTTGTAAACTCAAAAGACATATTATGAAATTAACTTTTGGTGTTTAGGCACACAATGAACGCCTTGCGAAAGAAGTGGTTGCCCCATTAAATTGACATGCGCGTGATTTGGAAGAGAGAGGGGAGCTGAATAAGTTTCATTTAGTTACATATATAATTTTGACTATGGGTACTTGACAAAATATTATTTACAAAACATTATATGCTTCAATTCATTGGTAAACGAAAAAGAAAAAAATCCACCCGTTTCTTTTAAACTAAAGTTGACACTTAATCACTTAATCATCCACAAGGATAAGAAACAACATACGAGCTGCACATACGGTTCTTTGCGGAGAACAGCTGTTGTTCCCTTGGTTATTTACGTCATATTTACATGATTACATGACGGCTATACTTACAAAGGAGGAATATGATGGCACATAGGATGACTATGATGGCCGCGAGGGAGAGAGTGGCAGTGGCTACCAGAGCAGCGGGTCCAGCCTCGTCGCAGTTCCTGCCGCTCCAGTCATTCTCACACTCACACTCGTACGCTGCAAATACAAACAGATTTGTGATAATCACTAAACGAAACGTTTGATATTCACTAAACGAAAGCAGTCTCTGATCTAGAGACATGGGACAGGGGTGCTCAAATATAGATATAGATATTAATGCAGACAGAGCTAAAAAAAATCATATCGTAGGTTCACGAAAAAATATACATCGATAGTATTAAATCAAATTGTTAAACCAAAACACTGAGTTAATTCACATGACTGTGGTAACATCAACATCCAGAAGTTTTATTGGCTTCTAAAAAAACTTGATTTTTTAGATGTAAAGGGTCAGCTTCATCCGGTTATCAGTGAATACATCAGCAGTATTTAATGATTTATTAACTGAAATATTTTTCACTACTAATAACGATTGATGAAATACCACTGGTATACTTGAAGACAACCAAGAGTTAATAGAATAAAAAAAGAAGTATTTGAACTCAAACTGTATCCTTTCTACTAGAAAAGTGTCACGAAGTCCAGGTGTCACAAATGGCAGTTATCTAACCAACTAAAAACACAATTCACTATGCTCCCCGATGCAGGAAAAAATTATACCTATCACAATGAAAGGTGGCCAATATAACACTCATACTCAACTCCTCCTTCACCCTCCAATAGAAGCTTAAAACAAAAGTAACGAAACTTACTGAGAACACCAAAGAAACTACAAGAGATAAATACAATATATATCAGAAGAGTAAAGGCTAAGTGCACAATTTACAGGCTATCGACAATTCATACAGGTATCTACAGGGACTTTTTAGAGAACGTTATTACACAATTAAAACAAGACGAATTGATAAATAGTAAAAGTTAGAAATTGATGAATAGTAAGCTAACTAAATTATTAAATGGGCAAAAATCCCCTTAAGATAAAATTCAGAAATGAACAATTTAAAAAAATTGGTATTGCACTAAAAGTATATTAAAAGAAAAGTTTTGGAGTTCGTTTACGCAGTTTTAGGCTACGTTGAAGTCATTGTGAAAAGTATCTGCGTCCTTTCTTGTTCCTGTGTTGATGAGAGAAGTTTTATCGCTGATTTGCTTCTGTGTCGCTGCGTCCGTCGACTTCAGCCGAAAATGGTGCAGCGACTATAATGGTTGGATCCACTGAGGGTAAAGGCCTTGTTGTATAACCAGTAGTTTCGGTTAATAAGATCTCGCGGTCCCAGTGTCTGCCAATGGAGTCAGGGGGTCCTAGGTAGGGTTGATGAACAAAGCTCCTAAATGCGCTTTCTCTGGCGTCTTCATCGGAGACCTTATCTCGACCAACGGCCGCTCAGGCTCAACTTGCAAAATGATTACAACTAAGTCAATTGGTGCAACGCTGTCCAAAAAACGTCTTTTTCCACCTCTTTCTGGAGGTTCCGTTCGAGTTCTGAAGGAACTACCTGTTGGAACGGATGGAGTATGGATAGATTACGTTTTTTTGTACAGCTCTCAATAGATATCATGTCCTCACGTGTACCCTTTGTAGGAGTCTTCTGCGTTTATCGAATTGTCGTCTAATTTTAACTGTCTAGAGGTATCTAAATAGCAGATGTGAACAATTAAGTCCTGTAATTATCATATGTACCCTCTCCCAAATAGTCGCCTAAAACTTTATCCCAGTGATCTCAATGTAAAAAATATGAAATGACGTAATGAAAGGAAAGAATATTTTTAGCAATTGAACAAAGTTTCGTCAATGCTCTTCTCTTTTTCACAGAAGCTAGTTTCGACTGTCGACCCGTGGTTGAGGATCCCGCGAGACCCGAGCCCGGTCTGATCTTAGGAGAGTTTTTAACTCCTCCCTGCTAAATCTGAACATTTAAACAATAAATCAGTTTTACTATCCAATTTTTTCGGAGCAAATGAGTCTGAACGTTAAGTCGGATTTCTTGATTATGTGCCCGTTGTCGAGTGTCAGTGTGATCGGAAGCAGACTCATTTTTGACCTTTGAAGGTCTAAAATACGGTTATCCCTCTGTTCGATTAACCTTTTTTCAATATCAGTCCTTTCATTTAGTAAAGAGTTCCGACACTAGGGCTCTCTTTTTGGACCCCGCTTCTTTGTTCATCAGGTCCCTATCATATCCCTTTTGCTTTTGAGCCTTTTCTCCAATGTATTCATCTTCTATCTGATCGTTTTCTGCCCAGTCCTGTGCTCTTGCGTTCAGAAAAAAATGACTTCCTTTTATTCAAACTAACTGCATATGAGACCAAGTTTTTCAAAAACGTGTTAGGTGTTCTGATAAAGTGTTTCATGAAAGATGTGCATCTAGTTAATGGTTGTTTAACTCCAAATAGACCAAACAATTTTAACAATTGCTAATTAAAAAAAAAACTTTTGGTTCGGTAAACGACATTGCACCATTGTTGATTTCATTGTGTAAAAAAGTCGTTCTACCACTGTATCGAATCTATGATCATCCAAAGTATATGAAATAAGATTATCATGATTTTTCTTGCTGAATATTTTTAAGTCGTTACAAAAAAACTCGACCCATGGTCCGGTCTTTTACATTTCGAAAATTTGCGAGGGTTAAAATAGTCGATTAAAAATTTTAAAACGAAATGAGTCAAAAAAAATTTAAGAACTGGAGGGCCATTTTGACAATCGGTTGATACAAAAAAAAGAATATATTTTGTTCCACTTCACGATTTATCCAACCAACTCGCAAAGTCCAAAATAAATGCTTCAATCGCTTCCTTCAATAATGGTAATTTTTGAGAGTTTGCCGCGCCCAAAACATTTTCAATCTCTTACCAGCTTTTATACTCTCTGAGCAGTTTCTCCCATGTTGTAAAACTTATCTGTATAAACGCAAAGACCATATGTTTATGTTGCACAGGAACGGTCACAGACATGTGCAATAAAAACTAGAAAGTTTCAACGAGAAAACATTCGACAGAAGTTAACGCAACAATGGAACAGTTTTGGGCTTGGCTTCTCAAGGAATGTTTGCCAACATGGCGAAGACGCGACAAATGGACAAAATCGGTTGACCTCATTGAGATTTTGTATGGGCATTGGAAACAAACGCACATAGGGGAGTTTCGCCAAACACTCAGTCTTGAGAACTATTAAACAGCAGCCAGAAAAAGATACTTTTTCTCCAATAGGTAAGGATAAAGAATGGTAACAAAAAAGGAAACAGTACAAAAACATTGATAAACAGCTGAGAAAAAACGGTACGAGTAGGAAAAGCGGTGAGGGGTAAAAAGTAATGCAACAATACATTGGCAATCACGGTAAAGGGTGTCAAAAAATTTAGTAGTTTGCGGTTTTCTCAAAAGGGGTACAAGATGAGATGCAAACAGTAGCACTAGAAATCTTATACAAGGAAATGTAAATAGTTAGAAGATTTGGCAGATCTCGGTAACCTTGGGAGAAAACTACAATCATTTGGGGTACAACGGGTATATTAAAAAAAAACAATAATATTGGGATCAACAGACATTTGGCTCAACGGGTAATCGGCGAACGCACACCACGGATAAAAAAGGCATACGGGAAATTTGCTTACGATATTGGTAACAGGAACCAGATGAAAGTATTGTTTTTGACAACTAAAAATCTGAAACTTTTACTAACAGTTAGAAGAGAGGATTCTTTGAACAAATCGATAGTTTGGAAGGGCTTGGTAGAGTTTAAATGGTTTTTGGGCAATACAATTAGGTGGAGTAGAAGGCAACAAGCTGAACAGAGCGAGATCTGATTGCATATACAAAATGCAAATACCATTACTGATACAAAAGGAGATAAAATCAGAGCAGCTCATGCATTCGGAATACGACTACAAACACAAAATGAAACGATTACGAACACAATAGAAACAAAAAAACTTTTGATTGCGCAATACGGCGATGACACACGACATATATGTTAATTTTTTCTTAATTTATGGATACCCAAAAACTGGGGGCGGACTGTGCAGATGAGAAGTCATCTGCGCTGATGATTGAGTTTGATTAATTGTGGCAGTAAACTGAAAAAATCAGAGCTCCAGAAAACCAAGCAACCATTGAAACTTTAATTCAGTGACATGCAATTGCTCAATTTTTACTTTTTTACTCTTGATTGAAATAGATAGAAAATTTGATCAAACGTATCGTATAGATAAATCCCTTTCGTTAAACTCATACAAAATGAGAAAGAATTGAGATGCATTCGAGAATTGATACTCAATGTACCTGATTGGTACTCAAAAAAGTGCAGATATAGGAATAATAGGCTATCAGCTTGATATCATAAGAGGCTAATAGGGTTATGTTATGGCAGCACTAAGGGTGATTACTTTTAGTGCAGTCGTAATTTTTCTAGCAGGACTTAACGCCTCCCCCCCCCCCCAGAATATGATCGGAACATTCTGTGCTTTTTTAACAATAACCCTGTGACGCGCAGTTTTGTTTAATTTTTTTTGGAATTTCTTCAATTGGCAATTTCACTTGTTCGTACAAATTAAGGTAGAAAATATTAAATTACTCTTCTTACTAGCTAAGAATGACAAAAAAGTCATTTTGTTGTCGATGTAACGCCAAAATTTACACAAAAATACTGGAAAACAAAACATGATAATCAGATCGATGTTTTCCTTGTCATCGAAGAGTTTTTTCACTGAGTTCGACGCCATGCATATTTTTGGTGCCTGATTTTGCGTAATCGGGACGAACAATAATGATTTTACTATTAAATTTGACTGTAAATATGTTGGCTTCATACTGGCAATAATCATTCAATACACCTCTATTTGCACTCAAAAAACAAACTGAGTTATTCCTAGACCACAATTTGCTTTCATTTTTATCGATTTTTGAGGGAACTGTTATCTGCTCAGTTTACTTTGTGCCAAATGGGACCTTGGGACAAAATTTATGGCATGGAAAGCAGCCAAAAAAACGACACGTTTGTTTTCTTAGCCCATCATAAAATAGAAGGTTCCTATAAATTTCTGCCCTCAAATCCTAAATTATCGCATTTACTCGAGGAGTTTATTACAACCTCAAGTATTCAATTTTTATTTTCAACGCCACAAGAGTCATTCACCATTTTTGAAAAGCCGATTAAAGGTTCCCGTATTCAAGGGTTACACTAACTTCCAACTAAATTTACAATTTCACATCAATTAGCAAACATGGTCTTATTTCCCGACTTTATATTATGCGCTCAAGGAGCCGATTCTCTATCGAATTTACAGATTTAACAACGCAACAAAGGTTTTTTTCTTTTTTGATAGCTTTTAACTCCTCTGGAAATTCGACAAAAAAGATGAAAGAACTTTATTGCGACGTCAATATAGACTTAACCTTTTTTTATAGATTATACCGGAGTAACAAAAATGTTCTCAATGATAAAGATTTGTCCTTGCAAGCAAAAAGGAAAATAAATTTGACGAGTTAGCCAGGTCTTTTTTTGTAATCAATTTGCATATTAAAACCATATAGTTTGTCTTCTAGATTACGCTACTTTGTTCACTCGACAAAACAAACATCCAAACTCCTGAAAAGATAAAATTTTGTTGATAATAACACAATTGGTTCAAAAAACTGGAATGAAATTTGATTTTGACCGTTAATGCAAAGATTTAAGACCAATATCAGTTCAAAATCAACTTTTGATTGCGATATGAAGCAACTTTGAAGATAGAGAGTGAATAACTTCGAGGGAGCCCTTCTGATAGCCGGAAGGTAGTAAAAATTCAATCACGTTTACAATGGTACTGCGTGAGTTATAGCCCTACTTACCCTCTTATTTTGTCTATTGCCTAGTAATACAATTTTGAAAATGGATCGCCTTTCTTTGGCCAAATACCCTTAGGGGCTAAGTTATCTTCACTATTATTATCAATTCCTCTCAAAACTCAGCACAAATTGACAAGCAAATCTGACCGCAGCTATTAAATGAGAGGAAGTAAATAAAATTAGTAGTATTGAAGTTAGTAGCAATAGCAGAGCGAGCAATGGAGGGAACCACTTACGGGGCTTTTAAAAAGGACCAATTGGATCAAAAAATGGCTGAAAAATTGGATCAGAAACAGGATCCGTCCTACGCAATTGGGAGCGCGTCTCAGTTGCCGCCTAAATTCGAATACTTCGTAGGGTAAGTAAGTGTTTCTTTTTTCCATTACTCCATTTTAATTTCTTTGCAAGTTTGCAGCCAGTTATTTTAGAAACTGCGTTACTATTCTTTACCTCACATTTAATCAATTATTTTAAAAGACTAGTCTCGCATTTTTTTTCAGCTACCTAATTGATAAACTTCCAGAATTACGTGCAGTTTTTTATATATTTTAAATTCAGAATTTGAAGCATTTGGTAATCAGATTTTCTTTGAGCACTCAAAAGATCATTTTAGACATTTTGTTTGCTGGATATAAATTTCCACATATTTCAACATTTCAGTTTTAATGTGCACTGCCATTAAAACTTAACGCTGATAACGGTAGCATCTCGAATTAGATTCTATAATTAAGTATCATAAAAAAAAGACATTAAAAATGAAACTACACCCACTTGTGGTCTAGAATCCGAGGTGCTGGACCTGGCGGTGGATCTGGCACACTGAAGAAACTTTCCGACTTCAGCTCTGTGGGTGGGGGCAACGAGGGCGATTCAGGAATAGACCTCACCCACATTGTACTTGGGTAAAATGATTTTTTTAAATACTTTTATCCCCAAATTACGGCTCAGCGAATTAAAACTGAGATGATTTAAGGGTTATGACTTAGAGAATTAAACAACCTGATTTGAGCTGAAAATTATCGAAAAAAAGCTCAAAAAACATTTTTGGATCAAATCAGACTTTTTTGGGTTTGGGGGAGCTAGAATAATCAAAATGGCGAAATAGGTACAGATAATATTCAATTACAAACATTTCAGAAAATGAACTCGGATTATGAAAAAAAGTTTCGTTATACTACTTCAAAGGCAAAATTTTGGACCCAAGAGCTCCAGGGGATTCTTAAGAGTCTTTGAAATCCTTTCACAAGATTCAAAACAATGTGCAAGGTTAGCGAAACTCCATTCTGATTAATTGATTGAATATTAAAATATATAACTCAGCTGACATCCACCCTCTAAACCTTTTTGCTAATTTTATCCTTGATATGTTTAGAGGCAACGCTTGGCTTATAATTTTTGGGCTTATTGGTGGATTTGTGTTCACACTCTACATAGTGTGTTACTTCAAGAAGGGCTGCTCACTTTATGAGAGCAGAAAAAGAGCGAGGGAACTTAGAATCCGAAGACTGGCCGGTAAGTTGGGTCTGATATAAGCTTGACTTGGGACAAATATAATAAATTCGTTTCCAAGTATTTTACAGTTAGTACCCCAGAGGGGATATTTACACAGAGGCGAAGCTTAATTTCGCGTAAACAAGCGAAAACATGGCAAAAACTACTCTACAAAGCAAAAAAAAAGAGAACTTGACATTGTAAAAGGGGAATTTCACAGATTCTCTGAGCTCTCCCAAATCACTATAAAGACCACATTTTTACTAAATTTTCTGCTCGGCAGGCAAACTTAAAAAAAAAAGGCTTAAAAGGCGTTTTTAGTCTTTTTTTTAGAAAGTTTTGACCAAAAAATTGCGTTTTTTTTCGGCGCGCGCTCCCCCTCAAAGTTAGTATATTTTGGCGCCAAAAGCGCCTCTAGAAAAATTTTAGAGCCCGTCAGCCAAAAACGGATATCTCCCCATGACATGCCCTATCAATTGAACATTTAATCTCACAGGTCTTAGCGCAATTTTTCAGAAAATGAAGTATATCCAGGGTTGCATAAGAATCTGATGTATATTCTCGATTGATTTAAATCCGATTTTTATTATTTTACCTTGTTTTTTTCAATTTTTATTGGAAATGTTTTTTGTTTCAAGAATCAATTAATTTACGCAAAATTACTGATTCAGCATCTGAAAGAAGAACACAAGTTATCCATATTTTTCTATTCCCAGCCAATTTCTGAGACTGGAATGGATAAATCCAAAAGTGCTGAAAAAATTTCCCTGTTAAAAGTATGTTATGAAGAGCGAAGTACGTAACCAATGTAAATACTGCAAGCTAGATTGTATGTTTACCGCGGCACTCGGTAGGATAACACAAGGGTTGATTTTTTTTTTTATTCTACGATTAAAATCTGATTTAAATCATTGATTTAAATCAAGTTGATTTTAATCATGCAACCCTGAGTATATCCGAAAAAAAAAGATCAAAATTCACCACACTAAAATTTTAGAAGACCGTAGAACTTGGGGTAATATAAGAATAGACTACCGTAAATTGCAAACAGACATTGGCGAGGCCGATCTTGGGTTGGAAAAGTGGTCATCGTAGTATGACACTACGCTCGGATTGTGTACACACATAGTAATTCGATAAAATTTCAAATAAATTCAAGTACAAAATGCTCATTCAAAATATTCAATACTGACGGGGAATATTTTAAAAAATAAGAAAAGAGCCAAAAAATTATTTGAAACAATTTTAATCAAAGCAAAAAAATATTCAGATTTTAAGATTTTTCTGAGCTACGTTCATTGACATTTAAAAAATGTTTGCTCTCACCAATTGGTAATCAGACTTTTTTAAAAATACAATGATTGAAGACACAAATCGATTGAGTTTTGATTTTGATTAGATTCCTAATGAATAGACAAAACAAATTTTCAAATAAAAAACGGTTAAATTTTTTTCTGCTAAACGTTAACGAAAAAATTAAACGTAGCCAACAGACAGCTGAAAAAGAGTCAATGAACGCAAGTAAACCAAAAAAAAGGTACTGACTTGTTTTTTGAAAAAGAATAGATATCCCTAAAGCTCTTTAAACTTCTAGAACAATTTATGATTGGTATTTTGTGGCTTAAAGTTACCCCAATTTGAGAAAGCTGGATCAACAAGTAAAATTTTTACTCCGCTAGGAAATCTGACAATTAAACTCCATTTTCGAAATAAAAAGTCAATCACGTTTTTTGTGACTTTTACACTTTTTCTGCACAATAGTGGAGTTTGCCTTCTTTTTAACAAAAAAGATGGTCTGAATTTAAAAAGGAATCAAAAGTCAATCCACAAAAAAGTTCATTTGACCTTAAACAAATTTCCTGAAAAAAAATTTCCTGAAAAAGGAATCATCGCGACCTATATAAAAGTCTGAACAACACTCATCGACTCTTAATTATCTGGCATTACAAAACAGGGGAAAAATTGATAAGCCTGCAAAAAATTGCTCTTCTCTGGTAACCTAGACGACAAAATTTAAGTAGACACGCTATGATCCAAAAACAAAAAAAGACAGTAGAAAATTGGATCACAAGGTTACCATTTTTATTCTGCTAAGAAATCAAAAAATTACACAGGCGAAGCTGAACTTCGCAAACCCAGGCCAGAAAACGGCAAACAGCAGCTCTAATTAGTGGAATAAGAAAAGATTCCTGACTTTTATTATTTGTCAGATTCGAACCTAAAACATCTGAAGTTGGAGTCTCATTTTCGCCCACATGTGACACAGGTCACTGAACATTTGATAATACTAGACGCCAATGATGCAGCTATATATGCTAAAGAATGCTAACGCTATGCAGTGAAAACGCCAGCGATTATCAATAAAACTCTCGCTAAAAGCTAAGTTCACAGCCATCAATGAACACTGGTCATCAATAAAGCAGAGAAGAGATTGTTTCAAAGTTTCCAATGTTACAGGTCGAGCACCAAATGAGCACTTTAATTTGCGAGTTGAAATCATACTAAAAATCCATTGAACACAAAATCAATAACTTTTTGCTCCCTTTCACTTTTTGTTATTCGAGAGTGGAGTTTGTCTTCATTTTATCGAATAAATTGAATTGAATTTAAAAAAGGACAAATTGAAACAAGGATAGCCGGTTACTGTGCAAGTAGCACAGAATGTTCCGACCTCAGTCTTAAACAATACAAAAATGTTTTCTCAAATTGGTGTCGTTTTGATTAAGAAAAAATCTGAACGAAAAAATAGAACTTAGGCATATTTGAAATGTTTAGTAAAAAGAGGTCAATTGGAAAACAGTTTTTGAAGAAGAATGACAAGAAAAACTAAAAAAAAATTTGTAAAATAAATTTTTTTGAATTATTATTTTGTTTGATTCCCAAAAGTGCGCTAAAATACTGAAAAAAAACTACCTTTAATTGAGTAAAACGATGTTTTCACGGCTTAAATTTAGCTTAAATTAGCTATTACAATTACTAACTACCTTACTAATTAGCTTGAAATTAGACCAAAAAAATTGAAACCGGTTTTTCTCGACACTGTGAAAATTTTTTTGAAATTTTTTATAGTCGTTGGAATTACGACTAAAAGTGCTTTAATATGATACATCACTAAACCCTGTCCTACGACTATTTGTGATAGCTAATTTTGCGTGGAAAAAAAAACAAAAAAACTAAAACACTCAAATACAAAGTTCCTCCCCATTTTCAATGTTCGGAACAAAAATCAAATCTGAGCGTGAACACTTGTCTTGAAAAAACCCTGACCTATACAAGTGTCTTCGCAACGTTCGTTGATACTTATAAGTTGTAATTATTTCCATCAAAACATCTTTCATATATTATCTTCAAATAATTGGAGTAGAAAATTTTAGAGTAGCAACGGCTTAAAATTCTGAGAGCAACAAAAAGTTTCCACTTCTGATTTCATTTATTTTAGCATCAAATATGGCATAAGTTAAATTGGTTGTTGACGTATCATTGTATAATTCTTTTATGACGTACCAAAAATGTTTCAGCTGAGACAGAACAACGATTCAAAAACCTGGGAACAGTAATCAGGTTCATAGAAACAATTGAAAAACGATATGGAGTCAAACTTCACCAAGAACCAGATCCAATGGCTACAACTCAAGCTTTCAAAAGGTCAACTTCAAACAATACGACTTTTACGAGCACTAATACACCCTCAATTTCTAAGTCACAATCGATGGATTTTCAACAGATTCGACACGAAAACGAACATCAAAATTTCTTCAGAATCGAAATGAACAACTTTTCTACACGTTTGAACAAAGTGAACAAAAACAAACGCAAGCAGAACATCATCGTTGACAGAAAATCTTCGCTTAGTGGCATCAATTTAAGAAAAAATAGCATAAAAATATTGCATCAAGCTGACAAAAACGAGAAGTTACTGAAGTTTTCACCAATAGATGCGCATAGTAGCCTGATGTCTCACGAAATGGCGATGGTTTCAAAAGAATGCAATTCTCGGAAAACGAGTAAAAATGGACCCCCAAGTAGAGCTGTTGGAAATTATACTCTTCGTTTTGATTTAGAAAAAATGAACCGAGAACGTCAGAGGAAAACTTAGGGTATATGAGTCAACGTGTTTAAAAAACAACATATTTTATAGAAAAAAACTTCAACGCTTTGACTAGATTCAGGTCCAGATTTATGCGTGCAGGGAGAAGGATTTTGTTGGAGCTTTTTGTTTGGAAAACTGTGGGTAAGGAGCTTTGTTTTCGGGTGTAAAATAGTTTTTTTTTCTTACTTTTTTACACAAAATCAGGCACCAAGAATAATCATCAGAATAGGTTGAGTTTCATATCATATTGAAAGCCTTTGTTTTATATCATATTGAAAGCCTTTCAGTCTTCATTCAAAAAAACTTTTTAAAAACTTCAAAAAGACAAGAAATATGGTTTGATCTTACTGATTTTATGCCTATTTTCGAACGATTAAAGCGGGCTACTGTGTTATGATCGGAAACTTTTTCTACGAAAACTTTTTTTTTGAGTTTTTAATGAATTTGGTGGAAATTTGCTGTTATATTTGCTCAGCAACCCACTACTCTTGTTGTTCCAACCATTCTGTAAAGGAGAGGAACTTTTTATTTGGGTGTGCTTCAATTTTTTTTCTCTTTTTTTCTTTTCCAAGCAAAATCAGGTGCCGCAAATAATCATCGGAAAGGGTCGAGTGATCAATTATATTAAAAGTCTTTAGTCGTGATTCGTTTACTATAAAAAATTCAACAAGATGCCCCAGCATTGAGAAAAACCAGTTGAAATTTTTAAGTCAATATCTAATTTCGAGTAAGTTAAGCAACCGAGTAAAACTCGTTATAGAAATCTCAGTGATTTAGGCTAACAAAAACTTGACTTTTCTAAGCTACAACTAGCTTTGGAAGCTTATTTGCCAATAAAAAGTTTCCATGAAAAACTGTAGACATTATTTAGTACAATTTTTTTTTCAAATTTTCTACGCATTTGTATAGTTTTCTCATCACACTACGCCCAAGAAACAACGCTAATTCGAAGTAAAAATTTAAAAAAAGTTTTGTCATTTTTTTTAAATGCGGTCGGAACATTCTATGCTACTTGCACAATAATCAACCATCCTTGTTAATCCAACCATTGAAAATTTTGTTCTTTCACGCATCGAACATCCTCATCACTACCAATGAGTGCAGAGACAAGCTGTTTTTTTTATTTCAAGCATAATCTTGTACCACGAATAATCATCCGATTGAGTTGAACGATACATGAGATTAAAGCAATTATAAATGCAAAAATGAAACTTTTCGATTTTCAAAAAAAAAAAATTTCCAGAGTCGAGAAAAACTAGTTCATAGTTTTTCTTTTTTCAATTTCGAGCAAGTAAAGATATCAGCTCTTGGACATTTTTTTTGAAGTCAAAAGTGGTCGATTATGTCCAACTCATTAATTTTTCAAGCGTTTGTACATTATTGTAACCACAAATAACGCACTAAAAACGACGCAAACTCGAAGAAAAAATAAAGAAACCTTTTAGAGTTTTTTTGATGAATAAGTCTAGAACATTCTGTGCTGCTTGCACAACAACCAATTATTCTTGTTGTTCTGACCAATGAAAATGGGGAGAAACTTTGTTTTCGGGTGTGTTTTAGTTTCCTTTTGTTTTCCACGCAAAATCAGGTACCACAAATAATCATCGGAATGGGTCGAGTGATATATCATATTCAAGTTTCTCAGTCGTGATTCAAACAACATTTCGAGCGAGAAAAGCTATCAGCTCTTTGACATTTTTTATTGAAAACAAAAGTGGTCGACTATGTCTAATTCATTATATTTTCAAGCTTTTGTACATTATTGTAATCGCACTAAAAACAACACTGATTCCAAGAAAAAGAAGAAATTTTTTTGTCGTTTTTCTGCTGAACATTCTGAATAAGGCTGGAACATTTCAGACCGTTATTCATAGCGTCGAGGAAAACCAGTCTGAAATTTTTGGTTTTTGGTCTAATTTTGAGCTAATAAGGTGACCGTGTAGGCTTAAAATAGCTTATTTAGGCTTAATTCAAGACGTGAAAACTTAGTTGTACTCACTTAAAAGTAGTTTTTGGAAAATTCTAGTGCCATTTTAGAAACAAAGATTGAAAATTGCAAAGATTTCTGCAAACAATTTTGAAATTTTTTAAAATTTTTTATCTCATTTTTTTTCTGGTCATTTTTCTTCAGAAACTGTTTTCCAATTGACCTATTTTAGTATTACTCTCAAATATGTCTTAATCCTATTTTCTCGTTCAGATCTTTTTATCACAACATGCAGAATGCAGAAAAAAAACGACACCAGTTTGAAAAAACTTTATTTTATTATTCTATTTTTTAAGACTGTTGTTTTTTAAGACTGTGGTCGGAACATTCTGTGCTACTTGCCCAGTAACCTGCTATTCTTGTTTTCTTTTGGTATTATTCAACAACAATTATTGATCGACAACCAAAAATTTTCGATTGGGCAATTTCGCGGCGAGGAAACTGAAATTTTCAATCAAAAGCTGCAAAGAATACCCAAAAGACCATTTTTTCTGTATGTATGCGGCACAAAAAATCAATTGCTCTTACTATAAAATGGACACCGAGAAATTCATAGATCCAGCCTGAGTAGATTAGATTATTTAAGAACTATATATGAATACTTAACAATAACAAATTCACCTTCGAGCTTGCTGATAGAAGATAATTTATCAAAAAGGGGCAAAAACTGAAATACAAAAAAAAATGAGTAAAAAATCTAAATGCCTGTTTTTGTAACTCCGTCAATCAACCATAATTCCCATGCTAATAATAATTTTATCATTGCACTCGTACAATAAGTGCACTCGTACAGAAAATCAGAAATCCAAAAAATTATGGGTTTCATAAAGAATCATTCATCAAAAACTTACATCCAAACACGTCTCTGCATTCTATTGCGTGAACACAGGGTTTGTATAGATCACACTCTAGTATGTCCACACACTGGTCGAAGTCATTCAGTCGAGTACCAACGGGACATCTGAAACAAAAAAAAACATCTGATGATCGATTCGCTCATCTTCAAAAAATTGGCTTCAAAAAAATTGGGCCCTTTTTCACTTTCCTCCACCTGTGGATATAAATTTTGAAAAAATATTTAAACATTGTTAGAATGCAATAAAACTCGGTATAGTGAACAAACGAACAGTTTACATCGTACTTCAAAACGTATCATCACGCATTTAGCCATAATAACACGTATAACAACAATTAAATTAGAAAATTTGAAAGGTTGGATGGAAATGGGAAAAGAGTAAAAATTGCTTCCTCACAAATTGTACAACTTGATGAGCTTGATTGTAAGCCATTAAAATTTTTGACTAACTTCCGTTCATGAAGTTATTTACAAATTCCAATAATCGGTTCAAGAAAAACTAGAAAAAGTTTCAATTCAGTGTTCTTACGCGCAATGAGCTTGATCAAACACTGGAACACAGATCAGACTTCCAGGGCATGTCACTCCTGGAGATCCGCAGGGATCTGGATTACATCCTTCCGTAATCCCAGTCCTGTTAGCCACCGACACTCCAGCCAAAGTTGAGGAGTATCCGAGTGGGAGTTGGATCCTGTTGAATCTGACGTCAGAGATGCATCCCTGGAAATTAGACGTGACGTCATATTCGCCACTGGTTTCGGAGATGTATCCTCCAATCATGATGGACTCTGGGTCTATTTGAAGGAGACGAAGGGTGCCCTCGGATGAGTAGACCTGGAAAACAAAGATTTCTTTTTAGGATTTGTAATCATTTTTGAGGAGAGCCGCTTAAGCTTAAGTTTAGCATTAGTAGCGCATTGTGGTAATCGAAGATGTTTTTGCAAAATAATTTCAAACAATCTCTCGATTTTTATCGAAGACAAACATTCAGCAGTTCGTCTAGCTACTAGAAATGCGTCACTTCCTATTTTACTCACCATCGTGCCACGTTCACCACCTCCATCCAGGAACATCTTAAACCTCTTTCCGTCTCTCATAACTCTCACCGAATGCCACTGACCATCAGTCACATTTCTGCTCTCCAGCTGCAAAATCTCTTCTCCCCTTCCTCCTAAATTATGCTTCAAAGACAAAATACTCTTCGCGATGTAGATGCGGATGAACCCTGCGTCATTTGAGTCGTGGAACCCGAGGAGTATCATCTCAGAGACGTCTTTGGCGGTGGAGCGGAAGGACAGGGTGATTTCGGTGTTGCGGGCGTTGAGGAGGGTGCTGGCGGCGGGTCCCTTCGGGTCGACAGAGTAGCGGATGAGAGAGTCACTTGGACCAAAAGTGTACTCGGGGGACCTGCATCAGATCAATAATTTTCTGATGATTGAATTTTGCGTGAGGCGGCGATTCTCCGCAAACGACAACTGGTAGCATTTCATTGCATTTTATTAAAACTAATTTAAAATAAAAAGATTAACCGATGCACAGCAACCAAATGGCTATTCGTTAGCGGGTGTGGGATTCGATGATTCGATTCGATAGACGCAAAAAAAAAACTATGCAAAATCCTGATTAAATTTCTTGTAACGAACTGTAACCATGTCCACCTTTCATTCCGTTCATCCCCCACGGAATGACAGGTACAAGGCTGAAAGGAGGGAGCTGGGTCGGGGGTGAATAAAAAACCATGCCCAGATTTTTGAAAGCTTACATATTTTTTTTTAAAATTAAAGGTCAAACGTGCTCACTTAATTAGACAGGTGGTTCCCTCGTATCTCGGATGGCAGTCGCAGTAGAGGAACTTGAACATGGAGGCCACACACTTGCCATGCTGTCCACACCTAGGTCTGCCTGTCTCGTCTATGCAGAACTCCTCCTGGTCCTCACAACTCTCTCTCGTGTTTTCAGTCTTGGCTGGATCACTGAAATCTACTATCTTGCCATTGATCAGGAACTCACGCACACAACCTACAACAAAAAAAAAACTGAACTTACATTACATGACACTCGGTAGTTTAGATAATTTGCGCATTAACAATATGTTTACAAAAATTAAACCATAGAAAACGGCCAGTTGGAAAAGAGTTTATTTAGAGCAAGAAAACAGAAAAAAAAATAATAACTTTCGAATTGCGAAGAAAAATAGATGACTTTGAAGCTTTTTGAATTTCTAGAACAATTTATGATCGACACGTTTTTGATAACATTAACCCAATTTGAGAAAACTGGGTCAATAGATAAAATTTTGAATGTTGGTGGGAAATCTGATAATTCAACTCGATTTTCGAAATTAGAAGTTGATATTACTTTTCATTACTTTTACATGTTCGCTGTTCGATCGTGGAGTTTGCCTTCCTTTTAACAAAGGAAATGAACTAAACTTGGAAAAAAGTCAAACCGCCAAAAAGTAATTTTGAGCCCAAACAAATTTCATCGTGACCTATTATACAAGAGTCAAAAGCAAACAAATATATTGAACTGAAGTTTTATTTACACTTAGTTTGAAGATAACTTTAAATTGTGAATTTAAAAATCGGTTGAATGCTTATTGACTGGAATTTTTCTCAGTCCAAAGCTATACTAAGTTACAATGCTTTATGATTTTCAACCCTGAAGATTGAAATTTTTAGCGTACCATCGAACCCAGTGTCAATCACACTTGATTCCAGAACATCCGGATCGGAGACTCCTCCAACTTGCAGAGGCGCATTCAGGTCCAGGCTCCTTCCCTTGAGGTATTGCACCAGGAAACAGGTGTAGTAATCTTGAGAAGACGTCGAGGACTCCTCCTTGATGAAGGAATTCTTGCCTAAAAGGCAGTGAAATTTACCAAACAGCTTTGAAATGTTAAAGTTGTTAAATACATGCCATATAAGAGAAAACGACAAATTATTTCAGCAACATTAACATCATTATAAGCAAAAGAAAACCGGAACAACAACCAACAGGCATAACTTTAAAAAAGCCAACAGACAGTTGGAAAGGAGTCAATGACCGTCTCTTTTTGAAAAAATCTTAACTTTTAATTATGAAAGAAAAAATAGATGGCCTTAAGGCTCCTTGAATTTCTAGAAAATTTTGTGCCCAATTTGAGATAGCTGGTTCAATAGGTAAAATTTAAAAGAGATAACTAAACTCCATTTTCGAAATTAGATGTCGATCATGTTTTTAATTACCTTTACACTTTCGATGCTTGACAGTGGCGTTCGCCTTGCTTTTAATACAGGAATTGAAGTAAACATTAAAAAAAATCAAAAGTCAAACCTCGAAAAAGTACATTTGAGCCTAAACAAATTTAAGACTATTAAAAAAAACGAAAAAAAATCATCGCGACCTATATAAAAGTCTGAGCTTTTGACTCGAATGTTTATCGACTCTTTAAAATGTTGATGACTTACACATGTCTACTTCCATTTTGATGAGATCTTTCTCAATCATAATGTCAACAGTGTGCCAGTTGCCATCATTGAGAGGATGGGAGGGATCTTTGGACAATTGAGCTACTTGCACTCCGTTTCCGAAATCCGAGATGAGCTTCAGCGCGCCTCCGAACAAGACGAGAGCAATGAAGTCGGGTTTGCTGGTATCATCTGAAACAATTGATAGACACGATCAATTCACTTAACCGATAAACTTTTGATGAACTGATAGAACTGAACTTTTGCAAAAAAAACTCTCAGAAAATATTCAATTTTTTTCAAGTAACAGGTTCAATCGACAATAGGAAAAAGAGATGACACTAAATCAGTTTTGAGGTTATGGCAAAAAAACTAAAATTCAATAAAATAAAAGAAGCAATTCAAGCATTGCTTCTAGAGCCTTGAGCGTCCATTCAAGTTCGCCGCCTCTTAAAATAATAAAATATAATCCAAATTTTTGTATCATACCGAGTTTGCGAACATTTTATCAAATTATATTGCAAGCGTAAAAAAGCGACACAAATGGAAAAAAACTGCAATTCAATAGAAACTAAGTATACCAACCTGTGATTGGTCCGTTGTAGAATAAGAGTCCATCTTCCTCAATGGTTGAGAACTGGAGAGAGATTGTGGTTTCTGCGCAGAGCGGGATAGAATCGAACCAGGAGAACCCGTCTCCGTTGAAGGTCAAAGTGTCAAGTTCACAGTTGGGACCACTGTAGGCTGGACTGCACGTGCATCTTGAAAGAAGACACAAGTTATTGAGTTAGAGGTCGTTTTCTGATGGATATTTTGTTTGTTAGTCCAAAAACTTATGAAATGAAAAGAAATTGTCTTCAAATTCGTATATTTTTGGTACAATTCTAGGATATTTCGTAGTAGTTTTGTTGCAGTCCGATTTTTCAAAATCGATACTGAGAAGTTTTGCCCCCTGGTCTCCAATAGGTAGTTTTCGACCTCGGAGCGTTTTGTCGGTATAGGCAAACAACAAGCCATTATAACTTTCTCAGCTAAATTTGAGTTTTCATGAGGACGTATCAACGACTACTCAACAAACGCCCACGTAAAATTTTCGAGGAAACGATATTTTTCTAAATGAAAAGGATATACCTGTACGAATAGTAGGCCTGATTTGCCACCACTTTTGTCACCACTGGTTTGCACTGGCCGCCATTCTGACAGGGATCTGCGAAACAGGGATCCGGATGTGCCTCTGGTCTGAACCCGTCCGGAAGAGTAATCATCTGAAGTGCCTCACACACTCCGCACTGTGGCTCGACTCCAACATCGATTCCAACAAAGGCGTTCGACTGGCCCAGAACTGGAACTGGTTTATTGGCGAAGGTTAGCATTGTGGCACATGACTCATCAATTTGGTCGGAGCAGACACCGGGTCCGCAGAGGTTCAAAGGGATGTCTTCCAGGACTAATTCGACGACACCGTCTTCAAACTAAGCATTTAGAAGTATAAAATTAGTCAATATAGTATTCAATACAATAACCCAAACTGATTAAAATAAATGTACTCCTCAAGATTTTGTTCAGATCTTTACACTTGGGTATCGCTTTTGGGTTTTCGAACTCCATGCAGTGGTTAAGATGTATCATTTTCATACTATTTAAATTTAACGCTTTTGAAGTTGAAAACGCTATATTGCTTTATATTCTACAACGCCAAGAAACACAAAAACATGTTTCGTCGACATACTTATACTTAAATTGAATATAGAACATTCGAATGTGGATTACAGAAACAACAGTCGATTGAACGTATTACATTTTAGATTGATATCCATTTTTGGAAGTTTTGGATTGGTCTAAAAGGGAAGATGGTGACACAGATGAGCCGAAAAAGTGGCCGTGAACTAACTGTAACATGCATTCTATACATTTGGGTACTACGTGGGAACTACGGCATGAAATATTCACAGGCATAAAAAAAATCATCGAACGCTTCCTTATACAACGTGAGCTAAAAGTCTATTGAGTGCCATGACAACGCCATCAAAAACATTCATCAAACTTTTTGAATATTTGAACATATTACCTGGATCTCTCGCGCCACCTGAAAACTATCGCTTATTGAAGCCGACATGTACAAAACTTTCAGAATAACAATGCATATATTTGACCATCGCCTTGTAATAAAATTACTAAAATGTTATTCGTAATTTGCACAAAACTCACTGAGTGTTGTCTTCTGAAACCTATCGGGCACTAAAAACACTATATAATCATATCCATTTTCGAAATAAATACTCTAAAAAATGTGATTGATGATCGGTAATCATCTGAATTTATGCAAAATTTATGAAAAATTTCTTTAAAACAAAATAATGGATATTCAGCAACCATCTGAATTTATGCTGAATTTGTCAATATGATACCTTGAATAACTAAAAGCAACGTTGCAATTCAAAACGTACCTCTTGTTTGTTCTCAGCCATGATTCCATACATCTTCGACTGCTGGTAGTAGGGTGACCCATGTGCCGCGAACACAATGTCAATAGTGGGGGGCTCAAATATCTGAGGGTAGACCGGTAAGTTTGAAACAGGAACATCGTTGACGCTGAAGATCTCTACGTAGCGTGCCTGTGTTTTTAAAAGTTTGGCCGCTTCTTCTGAGAATTTGTCTTTGGTGCTTTTTTCGTTGATTTTCGGTTTTGTTACAAACTCTCGCGACGACATACCTGGAACGAAAAATAATGTTATGACATTACGAATAAACTCTAAATATTTACTTTTAGCTCAACTTCAGGAATGGCAATATTTCTGGCCCAAAATTGACACAAATGAGAGAAAATTTTTCAATGCTCGATTTTGATTCTTCTCTCGCCTGACAGATTTTACAAATTCGATTCGAAAAACTAATGAAAATTACATTAATTAATAAATCAGATCAGTTTCACCATTCTATTTTCTATGTCGAAAGAAAACGTATTTTTACTCCATTATTTGTTGTCATTTTCAGTTGAAATAATAATAACTCAGATAAACTTCAAAGTGGTACCTTTAATTCTGAGAGCGAGTGCGTTGTCCATGGCGTCATGCTCCAGCAGTTCCACGTAAACTTCGATACTACTAATTGCAACCGCACTCGGAAACAGGGAGTCCGTCACCCTAACTTTCAGGAAGTACCTACAAAAACGAATTATCTTCTGACAAGCTGGCAACTTCTTTTTTTTCAGATTATCTGCAATTCGCCGAAGCAAAAGATTTATTTCTGAGATGTGGACAGTGATGTCTATGTGAACCAAAAACTCAAATTAGTTCAAACTTGCACTCAAACTTCAATTTATCTGAGTAAAAAAACTATGCGGACGAAAAATTGAATAAAAAATTTCAACTTCTTAAATGCAGGAAGACACTTAAAATTTTGTCTGGATATGTCAACTTCCGGTTTGCAATCACTCATATGCGTTTCAGGGGGGTTTTTGTTTTGTGGTGTTTTTCTATCAAAAAAGCTGGTGAAAAATGTAATATCGAGAAGACATTTCGCGAAATAGCTTGAAGCTGTCAAACATGGACGGTTTTTTTTCAGTTTCGTTGTTAATTTAACAACTCAACAAAGTTATTTAATTGCAGCGAACAGTTTTGATTGATCCAAATTTTGTAGGAAAACACTGAATTTGTGCTTGGGTGCATTTTTTTCCTGACAAATTCCAAAATTTTAGCAAGCCATTTTTGGCGGGAACGTTTATTATCATCTCAAAACTATTGATATGCCTGTCCCGAAGTAAAAATTAAAAAGATCTAACGCCTGCGACCGTTTTGTTCAGACTTTCAAAGAAAAAGAGGCATATAGAACCTATTTATTCAGACCAATTTAACGACGAATAGAGGACATCGAATAAGTGGACCTTCGATGGCCCGATCCTAGAACGTTCTGACTTCTGACCTTCAAGCGAATAATCTTACATTAGGCTAACTACGCTTCGAATCTGCTCGTGTAATACGAAGTAATTTTAATAAGCGAATTATTTAGATGCGTGGCGAACATTGTGCAATCATAATGGTCCCAACATGAATAGAGGCAAGCAAAACTGTCATAGTAATCCCTTATACGATAAATTTTTAGCACTTGAAATTTGGCATTGGCCGTCAAAAATTCGTAATTTATCAACAGTTTTTTAGTAAAAACTGTACGCGATCAGTTATAAGGCAGTCTAAACAATCATGGATTTGCCCTGATATACGAGCAGTAATGTTTGAAAAGTAATGGGGGTTTGAAAATTGACAATTTCGGATAATTAATGCGCTATAAGTTTCGTGATAAGAAAAAACAAGACTGCTCGTATATCAGGGCAAAGCATTGAATGTTCCGACTGCCCCTTAATCCATATCGAATAGTTTTTGGGGAATAATGTTGAAAATCTATAAATTTTTGACAAAATCAAAAATCAAATTTGAGTTGAACGAAATTATTATGACCAATTAGCTGGCATCATTTCAATTTGGAACAATTTCGTTGTGCGGGATAATTCGCCACTCATAAATAATTTGCGTTACGCTATCAGCATTATGAACAAGTTCTTCAAAGTGCGCATAATTTAGTCCAGAACATGGCCGAATTGGTAATTTTCAAACTACCACAACTTTTCAAAAAATGATCGGAAGTAAAGTATCTTTCCACATCTGCACTCAACTATTATTTCGATCGGCGAAAATTGACTGATTAAAAAACCACACCAAGCATAAATATTCCATTTTTTCGAAAGCGGTAATGCATAGCACTGGAAACTGTTTTAAGGCAATCTATTTCATTATGAAAATACGTCATCAGACTCCAAAATATCTTTTTGTAGTTGATATAGCGAGTAGGGTAAAATAAAGAAAGAAAATCGAAATATATTTATTTGTTATGCACTTTTCAATTGTTTAAGCTTAAATTTGTTATCGATTTTAAACGGCAGTTGGAGCATTCCGAACTCTGCCTTGATAGAAAAAGTCGTGTTGTTTGCACTTTCGAAGTAAAGATGGAAATTGTGTGCTTTGTGTAGTTTTTTCTTCAGACTAATTTCGACTTCTTAACTAGCCGTTTTTCAACAGCTGTAACACCATCAGTAGAAAAAAATTTGATCATTTTCTTAGAGGCAAAGTGGTTTGAAAGTTTTGAAATTTGGCAGTTTGGGACAATTAAAGCGCGATCTATGTAAGCGCCATAAGCCGCGATTTAGCCCGTTTCAGAACTTGTTTCAAATTGTTTTCGGGTAAACTTTTTGAAATAAAAAAAAAACATGGCGAGGCGCGCTAATTACATTATCTTTAACTTTAATATAGCTGCCGGGAAAATTTTTCAAAAGCAATGAGAAAAAAACCTAATTTTCTTTTATTTTTGAATTTTATTTATCTTTGTTTTTCAAATTTTATATTTTTTTCAAATCAATTTCTTTCAAAAGCTGCGCCTTGATGCAAGCTCGTTTTTTATACAAACATTTTCAAAACATCACTGCTTTTCAAAACAAAGTCCAGACCAGGCTTTAGACACTTTGTGAGTTAATATAGCTGCCGTTTTTTCATGACATTACTATTTTTTCATAAAATCAGCACATGAGAGTTTTTACAAACGGGTTTCGATTTCTAAAAAAAATCCAAGAATAATGCGTCCGCCTTTCGAAGAAAAAATATTAGACCAAATCAATGTTCGAGCGTTCAATTACGCAAAAAACACACCCTAATTTTAAAAAAATATATATATTCATACCTTCCGGGAGGTGTTCCCTGGGATAGAGTGACAAAGTTTTTAGACAGTGAGAAGTACTGGCGCAGTTGTTTGTCTGTGGTGATCATTTCGTAGGACTGAGTAGTTCTGTTGCAGCAGTCCGGGTCTGTGACCATGACGTCACCAATCTCCCGGTTGAGGATACCAGTCGAGATGTCAACTGTGTTGCCCAGTTCTGAAATGTAAAATGCGAACCTTTATACACCGTGAGGAAGTTAATGAAAAACGAGTTCAGGAAAATGAACTTGATTTAAAATTGAAACTGAAAGCGTTTAAACTTTAAAAAGGGTGATACAAAGATACTTCTAAACACTGAGAATCGAAAATAAACAGGTAGTTTTTGAAATTCCAAAATTAAAAGGTGGTCTCAACATGGCCCAATACTGAATTTGTAAGATATGAAAAAAAAGTATTTAATGGACTCACCTGGCCATACGTATGCGTGTATGTATGTGTTTCCATCTGAGGGCGGGAACTCATTTTCATCCAGGACAGACACGACCAGAGGTCTGATGGCACACATCTGGGGATTGGCACTAGGACTGTCACACAGCTCAAATTCAAGCAGGAAAGAAGGCGTCTGCATTGAACACAAACTTAATTTGATAAGCAGTTAATTATTGAAAGAGTTATTTTCATCGAGCTGTAGAAAATAGTCCCACACGAGACAAAAAAGTCAAAAAAAAATCAAAAAACGAACATAAAACACTCTAATATGAAATATAATCTGAAAAACAAGAAAAAAAACAGGAAAAACAGGATTTTTCGTCCATTTTTAGACACACTTTCTAAAATTAAAAGACTTTCAAGTAGGAAAGGTCAAAAACCGACACGATTGAACTCGAAACAACATTGAGATTTTATCGTTTTTGACAGTAGGAGTGATTTTAATCGGTTATCTCGACCTTCAATCAAGAAATTTTGAGTCTAATCTGATGCCAACGTTACGTAATAATCACCCTTTTCTTATCAGGCAATGGACTTTCGCTAGTCACAAAAATGTTTTTGTTACCTTTTCACGATCAAATGGACGTTTATTTCTCAGCTTCGCCATATTGGTCCCTGGAAACTTCTCCAGCTCAAAATCCGGATTGACAGTGTCTGGATCCGCCCATTCAATGCTTATTGGCTCCCCGTTCCCATCATTGTCATTATCGAAATCAATCGCTTCCAGAATCTGGACCCATGTACCTGGACCTTCGTTTTCCCTAATTTCCGGTTTGTAATTTTCAGCCCAAACTGGAGCATTGTCATTTACATCACGAATAGTCACGACAATTCCGATTGAGCCCTGAAGTCTGGGAAATTCAATATTACTCGGCCTGTCGATTGCCAGCACATTAAAACTATAAACTGCAGTTCGATCCTCGATCGTGACCATTTCTCGGTCGAGCGGGTTTTTCACCATAACTTTACCCACTCTCGGGTTGTTCAAGTCGGGTTCGACTTTAAACCAGTCATGGACGTCCGTTTCCCAGTCGACTTCAAATCGGATATCTTGTTGTCCATCTTCATCTCGATCTGTCGCGTGGACCGTTGCTATTACGTATCCAACTGCGACGTCTTCGTCAACTTCAACGGCCGGAACCGTCGAGGGATCGAAAATAGGAGCGTTGTCGTTGTAGTCCAAAACTGTGACGTCGATTTTGCACTTGGCTGGGATATTGCTGAAGGTGTCGTCCCATACATCAATTGTGAGGTTGTATGTTTTGCGGTCACTTTCATAATCGATGATTCCTCGCTCCTAGAAATATTTATAAAGAATTTTTGCAGAAAAATAAAATCTAGAAATCTTAATTTCAATTTAAAAACTATTCTGGAAAGGAAGACGCATAAACTCATTTGAAGCGTTTTGTTGAAAATTGCACGTCACTTTAAATATTAAACAATTACTTTTTAGAATTTATGAATGAATTTGAAGATCATTCTAGTACAATAGCTCAAAAACTAACTAACCTCTAAACTAGATATCAGCAAGTTGACAACACCTCCCGAAGATGGGTTAGTCACATCAAACACAGTGTTGATATTCCCTTCACTTATCGTTACTTTGTTCATACCATTGACAGCATTTGAATCTTTGTCTTCAACGTTGAAAATAAAAACAGATTGGCCACTAATGGCGCCTTCAGATACCGAAATCGTGTATGATTCTCGTTCGCAAAACGGTGGGTTGTCGTTGACGTCCGAAACTTCGATAAAAGCTACTCCAGTTGCAATCGCTCCGTCTTCATCTTTAGCCTGGACCAGAAGTTCAAACTGGAATCCTCTGTCGCCCTCGCGATCCAGTTCTTGTAGGGTTCGAATTTCGGAAGTTTCCGGATCGATCTCGAATAAGTCTAAAGGACCGTCGATTAACTCGTATGTGATCACGCTGTTTTCGTCCGCGTCTTTAGCAGGCATCGTCATTACAAGAGAAGGCGCCGGTCGGTTCTCGGGAATGGTGCCTCGCTTGTCGGGTAGTATGAAGTAAGGTGCATTGTCGTTGACATCGCGAACTTCTATGGACAGTTCGGCAGAAGCTAATTGGTCTGAGTTTGGCACAACATTGGGCGAGATGTCCTCGGCAAAGACAAGGAGGTTCCAAACCGGCCTGAAACGCTTCTACAACCTCAAATTTGTTTCTTTCGATAAAAACCAGCATATCGACCCTCGAGCCGTCTATTTGGATGTGAAAAATCTCTCTGTGCAGAAAACCACAAAATTAAGCATGTATAGTATGCTTTTATGGTTGAAATCATTCAAATGATCTTGCTTTTATGGTTGAAATCATTCAGATGATCATGCTTTTATGGTTGAAATCATTCAGATGATCAGAGGCGAATCTATTATTACTCACCTTTCCTCTCTGTCCAAATTCTTCCTGATCTTGACAACTCCTGTGACCTCGTTGATTGAAAACTGATCATTGGCCCCATCCCCCTCCAATCTATATCTCACCTCCCCAGGGGGGTTCAAGTACAGATCCTGGTCCACCGCTTGCACCTGTGAACAGTTAAGCAACTGCCAATCAAGGGGTTTTAATTCTGAATACTTTTGATTGGATACTGGCTGACGGTGTATTGTGACTGGTGGAAAATAATGCGTAAATTGGGACCAATCACAATTGAGTAACAAGTAAAGAATAAGGTTGACCTCGTTAAGGGTCAGAATAAATACAATTTGAAAAAATAAATTGGGGAGTTTCATTTTAGAAGCTGATGAAAGAATTTCACTGGGAAGTCTTTTGATGAAAATAAAGAAGTTGCAAGGTTGAAAATATTTCACCAGAGAGGTTCATTCGAACCGTGAATGATTAAGTATCTGAATTGAAAAATATTTCGCAACAGTTGAAAATAATCTAGATTTAGCCGGTAGTTTGAGTAGACACTGAGATGAAGAATTAAACTCAGTTTCATAAACAGGAAGAAAGAAGTTATAACTTAAACCGGTTTCACAATTTGACTGAAAAAGTTGTGACTTGAACTGTTATCACAATGGGGCATCCGCCAATTATCATACTAATATGAACCGAGTATGCCATAAGTTTGAGGCCTTGAGATTTTATTGATAAATTATTTGTTTTTTGCAATTTTTTGCATCTTTAAACTTTGTCATTCTTAACGAATCAGTTTGTAAATCTTTGTTCGAGATAATTTTGAACAAGAATATCTGGTAACAGTTTTTTGTAACTAAGCAATCCGTGATGTAATAATTAATGATAACTCAAATAACGACGGCAAATGGAAAACTGATCGTTTAAAACACACGTTTCATTTTTTTAAATAGTATAACTGGCTGGCTGGAAAAATAATAGCCAAAAATTAGATTTTTAAGTGAAAAACGTTTTTAAATGGATATGGATTCGTTCAACAATTATTTACGACTTTTCAGCCTAAAAGTAAAAAGATAAAGTCACCTCAGTCGTATTAAAAAGTGAGAATTGATTTGTCAAACAGATTGAAGCAAATACTTTTGAAAAAAGCTGCGGCCTTATTTGGTAATCAAATAAAAAGTCTCAGTGAGCAGTAATCTCTGACTTCGTATTTTTAGTTGGTCAGGTACCAGGTTGCTTTAAAGCCTCATAAACAAACGAGAACAGATATACAATCTAAACAAGGATCTCGCTAACAATGCTATTTAATATTTTAGCAATCTAAGATGCTAATCGCCAACGCTATTTTCGTAAACTCATTTATTTCATAAGCAAATGAATTTTTGAAAAAATGCTTTCAAACTTCGAAAAGATTAATATCAACATAACTTAAGCACTAAAAAAAGTAGGTACATCTGCAAAATTGGTTTATTATTGGTAATTTTGAAAACGATTTTGTTAATCCTGATTCTATAACAAATTTTGAGTAAACGGTTAACCAATGAAATAGTTGATGTGAATGATGATTACGGATAAGTTGAGGTCATTCAAAACTCGTAGACCAACCATTTTTTCATTACAAGTATCCTTTCAAAAACGCGAACTGCATAGTTTAAGTACTGAACTCTCGAGTTCTAAACTTAGTTGGGATGAAATGTAAACGTTTGGATAAATTGGCCCAAACCTGTAATGTCCAAAGTCAAGTAATTTTAAACAAACCAAAGTAACCAACTTTTAGTCTGCTTATCAATCAAAGTTCAGAACTGAATAAGAGTGAATAAGGCTAGCTAAACGTCATTCAGCTAAACCATCCCTTCTTATAATAAAATGTACGGCAATTAAAAGTCAGTAACCAATAAATAAGATTTCAATGAAAATTGATCTGAACTTCGAATGAACAAACTCCTGTTTTGTACCACGAAAAAGAACTCTTTAGTCGCATTAAAGCCATACGCAATTTTATAAACTATTCTAAAATAATTTTCGCAAAAATTATAAGTAGCGGCATATCCAATTCAAAATTTTATTCATTTTTCCAACTCCTACTTAGATATTTAAGACATCTTTTGCGAAAAAAAATCCCAAAAAAAATCCCCGCTATTTTCACGTCTTCAGAACGTACCTTGATAATGACGGTTCCAATCGGCGAGTTCTCCACCGCTTCCGCCACATAGAGATCCATATCAAACTTAGGCGCCTCATCATTCTCATCAATCACATTGACCTGTACATAGGCACGGCCAGACAGTTTGCCATCACTCGCCAGAACTGTTAAGTTGTACGACTGCTGTCCGAAATCGTAGTCCAGAGGTCGCACTAGTTTGATGACACCGGAGTCGTGGTTGATTTCAAAAGCCCCACCGATGTTGCCACGCTCAATGCGGTACGTGATTATCTGGTCCAGAACTACATGCCAAAAAATGAATCACGTTCATCATTATCATAAGCAACATAAGTCGTTCTTTGATCAAAGAAAAATCCATTCATAGAAACAACTAATCATAGAAAACACTTTTTCGCACAAAAGTGAAAAAATTAAGAGAGAAAAGAAAAAAATAGCCTCGTTCGCATGATGACCAAAGTATTCAAACCCCAGAAAAGAAGCAATCAAACTGTGAACACATTAAATCTATCCTGAGTATACTATAATTATCTGGTTTTTCACCAGATAAATTATTGGGTTTTGAGATCAAACAATCCAATGCAAAAGACAATTAAGGTAAAGCGGAAAGTTCTAGAACCGTTGTCCTCGTCAGTTGCAGTGACAGTTTTCAGCACCTCCCCTATAGGCGTCGTCTCCTTCACATTCACATAGTAGACATCCTGATCGAACTTCGGCGGATGATCGTTCACATCTATGATCGTAATAGCCACATACACACTGTTCACATTGGGTCCCTGTGTGCCTGGATTGGAGCTGGGCGCCTGGTCTTTGGCCTGGACGTTGAGATGGATGGAGCTCCTAGGAGGATCCATGGTGCGTAGAGATTTCTGCAGAGTGACAATTCCCGAGACTTCATCGATTGCAAAGTAGGAGGCACTGGAGGAGCTGCTTGAGGGGATCGAGTATGAAACCTGAAACATTTAAAAACATATGTATTGAAGTTCCAAGAGAGAAATGAAGAGTAATATTAAATCAGTTTTGATACAACACAGCCAACTGACAGTTGGAAAAGAATAATGAACGCAAGAAAACTGAAAAAAAACTAACATGTTTTTTCAAAAACCTTCAACTTTTGAACTTCGAAGAAAAAAATAGATAACTTTAAAGCTGTTTGAATCTGTAGAACACTTTATGAGGGATACTTTTTTGTGAAAATTAACCCAATTTCAGGCAACTGGATCAATAAGTAAAACTTTTATTTCGCTTAGAAATCTGATAATGAATTTCAATTTTCGAAATTAGAAGTCGATCACGTTTTTCGTGACTTTTACAATTTTGCTGTTCGATAGTTTCTGCTTTCCTTTTAACAATATAAATGCACTGAACTTAAAAAGAATCCGCGAAAAATCAAAGTTGTCAAAATTTAAGACCTTTCCTGAAAAAAAAACAAAATTGAAATCACCAAGACCTATTATACAAGAGTACTCATTAGGTTCATAACTCATAAAAGTATAACTACAGCAGTACTTTATGATTTAAAAATATTAGTAAGAAAAAATTGAAATTTCCTGTCCGTATTGCGGGTTTTTAGCCGCCAAACGATAAATACACACGACAATCCGAAATATACCTTTAGTGGAATGGGAAAAAATCAATTCGTAAAAAGTACAGGGACTGGCTTCAGCAATTTTTATGAGTTAATATAACGGCTAGTACAAGAGACGGATTTAAAGTAGTTTTGAATCATTTAAGTTAGCCGACTGCTGTGCAAATTATACAGAATAACCCCATGAAGCTAATTTACAAAGATATTTTTTAAAGAGCTTTGCAATTTTGATGTCCAAATTTACAGTTATTTTTTTCTAGAAAGCAACTTAATTAATCAGGTAAATTACTCGGGAAAACGGCAAAAACGGAAAAAGGTTTGAAAATACAGAAAAAAGCCTTGAAAGAAAAGCAATTTAAAGTTTAACAACAAAGCCGGCTGCTGAGCAAGTAACCTAATAATGTGCGACCACTTTGATCGAAGAAAATAATTTCGAACAATGGAAAAAAATTCCTTAAAAAAAGGAGAAGTAAAATAAAACTTTTTTGTCGAAGCGAGAAAAAAAGCAAGAGAGACCGGTATTTATAGATATAACGTTAAAATTTGGCGTTGACACTCCACTAGAATTAAAGCTGGGGAAATAAAAAAAAATCGTCTAATTCAGTCTGAAAACCATAAAAATCAAAACAATCTGGGGAGCTCAAAAAGTTTTTCTTGCCACTGAGGCAACTTTTTGAAAAGTTTTTAATGGAATCCCAATTACAAGCAACCGCGCTTTAATATGATATCCCACTTAACCCTGGACAAGCTTTACTTGGGGTAGTTTATGTCGGCTAGAAAAAACGTTAAAAACCGACGCTAATCCCTAGTTCTATTCAACTCTTCGAGATTGGTCGGAACAAAAAACACTGAAAAAGTTTTGTACGGCAAATGTGGTGACCAATTAGCTTGCCCCAATTCAATTTGGAAAAACTATTTGAGCGTTTTAAGTTTTGAATAAACTAGCCGCGCTCAAACAAGTTGCTTTTACGCATTTAACATCAAAAACAAGTGCATAAAACTGCACCTAAATTAGTCCAATTGACTGACAATTTGCACTTTTTCAGACCTTTAAAAATTGACGAAAAAAGATCGCATAATATAAAAAAAGTTTTTCTTTTCATTTGAATACAGAGTAAAGCATCGGGCATGTGAAAAGTACCAAAGATGACAAAAATCTACGCATTTCTCACCAGGTTTCCAGGAACACAAAGAGAAAGCAACAATTTCATTCGCTTTCAAGGCACTAAAAATACTTAAAAAACGCCAGCTTTTTTCTAAAAATAATACTTTTCTAGACGCAAAACATTTAATTTAGCGAGGAAGGATAAAAACAATTCAGAAAACTGTGAAATCTAGTAACAAAATTTGACCAAATGTTTTGAACCAATCACAAAGAGCTCAATCACGAAAAAAATATGAAAAGGCCTAACCAGCGCGCAACCATTTGCTAACTTATTAGAAAAAAGAGAACCACCTTTGACTTAACGAGATGATTAAAATATCACACGTTCCAAAGTTTTTCGAAGATAACTGAGATAACTCAAAATTAGCATCACTTAAACTTTTTTTTGCCAACTACTTCATCACAAAATAGGGTAAATTAAAAGAACCGTCGTTGGAAAATCTGTTATAACACTCGGTGAAGTTGTAACATCTTATTGAAAATACAAACTGAAAACTATTCGAGAGAATATTCAACACTAAAAATGAAAAACAAAACAAGAAATGATATACTGAAACCAGAAGGGTAAATTATCAATCAAAATTTTAAAAAAAACGGGCACTTAAATATAGACATGCTCAAATTTGTCTGTTCAATGACGAAGTTAAAGATTTAGAGATGACCACCAATTTCAGTCATTTTATGAACAAAGTTATCAACAGGAAAAAAATACCAGTACCGGATTCACTACCCTTGCTTAGAAACAAATTGATCACAATTTTCCATAAAATTTTTGATACCAAAATTGATTTTTTTCTCTTTGTACCGGCCATTTCACGTGTTTTCTCTTTTTGTTCCGGATTTTGAATAATTTGAAGCACGGAGTCAGATCTGGCTTTGTATTAAAGCCTTGTTGGTAGAGATTTGGATAACAAGAAGAATTTGAAAAAATGTCTCGGATTCGAGCGTGAAAAACTAGTCAGAATTTTTGGCAATTAAGACCAAAATCAAAGCACTTTTCAGTCCAATTTGTTGAGCTGAAACAAATAGGACTGATTTTTCATCTAATTTGTTTTAATAGTTATATAATTTATTTAACTAGTTCTCGAAGTTGTTAATAGAGCCCGATCCCCTCTCTCCTCAAAAAAACTTAAGAAAAATGTATCTTTTATTTAGAGACAGCAACCGAATGAGGGGGAAAGTGAACACTCCCATTTCCATGGATTCAAACCCCTTGCCACCGTGGGTCCCCTTGTTCGTTATTTCATTCGGCATCCATCATCCGTCAACCAACCAAAAATATTGTCTAAATATTGTTTCGTGGGGCAAGCGCGGCAAGCGGGGCAAGCGCGTGGTTTTTTACTCATTTTGACGATCGAAACAACTTTTTGCCTCGGATGAAGTTCAATTTGACACAAAGATGTCAAAACGAACAATTTGTCGCGTTAAATTAGCATTTTGACAAAAAAATTTTTAGCAGCACCGAAGCAATCAATACTTGGGTTAACGGCCGTTAAACAGAAGAAAAAAAAATGAAACTCGAAGTTTTTATGCCAACTCCCCCCCCACTCTAAAACATACAAAAAAAATCTCATGTCGCTCGTCAAACGACCCATTGTGAGGCAACTAAGCCGTTATAACATAAGCACATAAGCAGAACGCATTTAAGCCATGGAAACTTCAAATGTGAAAACAAAATAAGAAAAGAAACTTTACACAATCCTAGATATCAATTACCTGCACCAAAAGAAATGTGACAAATATCAATTTGTAATAGTAAAACAAAATAGCTGAGTTTTCCACTAAAATGCATACTGAGGGATCTACGCCGACAAAAAAATAACACGGTCGTCCAGAAATTGGACTTTCAGAGAGAAGTTAAATTTCCAGTTCAAAAATTACAGGTATTAACACCAGAAGCTTTGAATGAGCGCTACCTCTGCGCCAAATGAACAGAATCAAAAATGGGATTTGAATTTTTCATGATTAAGTTATAATGCGCAAGTGTTTATAGGCGAATTTTGTAAACAACGTTTGTCGCCGAAAAAATAGTACCCGATTGAATATCCTTGCTTACCGCAAAAAAAAACATTTCATTTATTAAATTCGCTCTGACTCGCTTTGATGTCTTTTTGGTTGGTAAAATTGATCTTGCAGAACATGCAAAGAAAACCGAGACCGACACTTTGAAAAAAAAAAGAAATAATTATTTGAATTAATTTATATAAAGAAAAGATATTTAAAAGAAATAGACTTAGTTGTTAATCCAAAAACTTGTACTAATGCATCGAAACTTAAAAGCAATTGACAATTGTTTGGCTACTAAAAAAAAAGATTAATGCATTGAACAACAAAAAAACAATTGCCAATTGTTGGGCTACTAAAAATAAGATTCTGATCTGTTTTTAGAAAAGCCATGTGGTCAATTTTTCTTTAATTTTTCTGAAATACAAAAAATAAATTTTCATCAAATAGGAATTGAAGCATAAAAACGAAACTAGAGAAAACTAAAGGATACTTAAAAAATGAATGGTGAATCTTGACATTGGTTTGAGACAGTGCAAATCTTTTTTTTTGCTGGTTATACTTTGAGCGACCACCATCGATTCAATACAGCCACGAGAAAACAAGACCTGTTGTAAACATACAAAAGAGAATACTTGAAAAACGAAGCGTTAAGTGTAAGTCCGTACAAACTGTCTTTAAGAGCCATGTAGATTATAGTATTCATTGTTGTTTACAGATTGTTAAATTTTTATTGGTTTACTGGTTTACTTGGTCGTTTTGTCACTCGATATGTCTTCGGAGGAGGGTGAAGATAAAAAGAGTTCACAAGGGGACGAAGAAGAAAAAGAGGAAAAGGAAGAAGCAGATGATGATGAAGAAGAAGAAGAGGAAGAAGAAGAGTCGATAATTGCTCATCTCAACCTCAGGTTCAATTTTCGAACACATGCTCTGGTAATAATCAAGTCAGCCAATGTTTTGAAAACAGCTATTCAAGCAAAATGAATTTTAAAATATCTCTCAAAAAAACTTCAACAAAAGTACGAATTTTCCAATTGAGGGTAAAAAAGACGAATTTTTAGGTTTTCAGCCAGGAATAGAAAATTATCAACCGATGTTGTTTTCAACCTCCCCTTTATCAAAAATTTCTGGAAAAACTATCAGCTGTTTCAAAAAAGTTTTTCGCTTTTTCTTCTATTACCTACAGGCAGTAGTATTTTAACGTTAAGCTAAGGCTTACACTAAAAGAATGTTGATTCTTTTATTTAGATTTTGGTTGCTGCCATTATGTCACAAAATGACTGAAAATAACTGTATAGCAGGGTGGTTTCTTTGGTGTCCTACTCTTTTTTAACCCCACGTTAATTCAACCCTATTTTCGCCCCTCTTCCTAATTTATCACCCCGTAAAAAGATAACCCCACTAGATTTTAACCCATTAAATAATTTATTTCAAATCCCTTTTTCAACCATAGTATTTTTGCAATTATGTCAATAAATGGAGACCAGATGAGCTGTTCTTAATTCATTCGATGCATTTAGCCAATCAAAAGTAATTGCAATTTGATCAACTATAGAAGTAATTTTTCATTCACAAGTTTAAAACAGAGATAACTTAGATGGTGCTAATTGAAGGCAATATTAAACATTTGTGTAAAATTGACACCAAATTATACTTGAGAAACCGTTGAGCTATATTGTTTGATATTATTAACGTCCTTTCATATTATTTTATCTTCCCAAGACAAACAAATAAAGTGTCAAAGGGTCACAAGTACTATCTTACACTCAAGAACAAAACAACTAACAAATGAAAATGCTCAAAGAATCAAATCCATAAAAGCCGAGCGACAGCAATTACGGAAAGCAAAATTCATGTACATAACCATGATTTAGTTCGAAAACTTAATTTGAACTGCTCAACAAAAGCACAAGCAACGAGATCAGGAATTACCAGTCTGTCCACCAACCAGGAACTTCAATATATCCAAACAATTGACACTGGAAAAAATGAGTACGAGAGTTTTTTTCATTCGATGACCCTGAAACGCTACGTGTGCTAGAAAAATCAAAGTTTTGGTTGGCTGACTGCACTTTTAAAGTCAACCCCAAAATATTATCAATTTAACTCTGTGAATGGTGGTCTATCAGGAAAAGTCTCTGCCTGCAAATATGCGCTCTTGTCAAATAATACAGAAAAAATCACCACCGTTTCTTAGAAGCCCTTAAAACACTAACCCCTGACTTTAAACTCGAAAACACTTTGATGGATTTTGTTTTTTTTGCTCAATTCTCAATTAAGTGCCTTAAGGAAAATTTGCGAGGGGCTCAAATATAGTACTGTAATTATTGATATATGGAAATAAGGTTATAATTACACAAAAAACAGATATCCTTGTTGTTTCTACTGCCTCAGGAAGTAGAAAGGAACTATGGCATAGCTTTTCCAACGCATTTTGTTTATCTCAAAAAAAAACTCCAAAGAAACCAGGGAGACAGGTGTTGTATCATATTTAGGCCTTTCAGCCATGATTTGATTAAGAAAAACTGGTCTGTATTTTCAGTTTTTCGGAGTAAAAAGTATTACGAGAATTTATTTCATTTAATTTAGCTATTACTACCTCTGAATTAGCGGCTTTCTATCTAATCAATAGACTTTAACCGAAAAAAATAATACATAAAATTGATTTACAAATTTTTTGAATATTTTATTTCGATTTTTTTGTAGTCGGAGCATTCTGTGCTACTTGCACACCAACCGGCCATCCTCATTTCGATTTGGTAAATAGAAAATAGATAATGTTTTAAAAAGAGCGTTTTGTATTCAAAAAAATGACTCGTTTTGCTTCAGCGAGGACGTGCTCGACGAGTACCGTGAGGCGTTCGCTGTGTTTGACAAGGAAGGAGAGGGAGTCATCACTCGGAAGATCCTCACGAGCACTATGCAGAGTCTGGGACAGAACCCTACGGAGGCAGAGATACAGGACATGATCAAAGATGTCGACGTGGACGGGAACGGAGAGGTTAGGGTTCGAGCCCCATTGGGGCAACTATACAATTTCACTAACTCTGAAGTATTCAAGAGAATTTCTAGAAGACATTCAAACCATAAGAGTTCTTTTTTGCACTGTATCAAATGGAAGATGAAATAAGTCATAAGCCCACCGAGCTCACGTTTCAATTTATGTTCAAAAAATCTGATTTGTTGATGAACAAAGCAACCGCAAAGTTTAACTGGACAGGGTTTCAAGCTAAAACTTTGAGCCTATTGCAATCAAAGTCGGTGCTCGTGCTCCAATATCATTTTAAAAAGATACTATAAAAAAGTCGCAATCTCGTAATCTTCATTTCAGGTGGATTTTGAGGAGTTTGTATTGATGTTGCACAAAAGAATGACTCAACAAATCGATCCTAAAGAAGAGCTGAAGGATATGTTTGACGTTCTAGACCGAGACAGTAATGGACTCGTGAGCAAGCATGAGTTGAAACACATGATGGCTCAGTTGGGCGTGCCCCTCACAGACAAAGGTACATACGTATGGTAGATGGGTCCCTAACATATTGAGTGGCTTCTACAAAAGTCGATGACAAAAATCTGATTGAGGTTTTCTTACTAAGATAGTATACGCTAAAAAAAACTCAGATATAGTAATTCATCGTGAATTAATCTATTAGGCCCGTTTTCCCACGTTTAATTTTGAACGATCAATTTCTCAAAATGAGACGTTTGTAGGAATCCATCTATCATACTTGTAACTTGGCTACAGATGCAGATGAACTGATGGATGAGATCGACGATGACAAGGATGGATATATGTCTCTGGATGATTTCATGAACTATATGAAGTCAAGAGGACATCTTGATTAATAAGTGAAAGTTTCACCAAATTTATGTTGTAGTGATAACCAAACAAACATTTATATTAAAATTATTTTAAATCTAAATTTGTGCTTTATATGACACTGTAGGCAACAAGACGATGATGTAATTTTGAATGTTAGATATTTCGCCGAATCTATTCTTTTCTTTTTATACAAAATCAAATGAAATTTCAAGTAAGAAAAAAGGCTCAATTCAGCTAAAACCTTTCTCGCTTGCTTAGAGTACGCATACTTATCACTAGGTCCATGCCCTCCCCTTTGCTTCATCACCTACCTCCCCTCCTAGTCCCAAATCCTTGTCTTCTGCCCTGACAGTGGCCACGTAAGTGCCGGGTGAGTCGTCCTCCTTCACAGACCCGTAGAAGGTCTCGTCTGGGGTGACGAACTCGGGCACTTCGTCATTCTTGTCTCCCACTTCTATCGTCACGTGTAAGAGAGTGTAGATGTTCTGGTTGGAGGCCAAGGCTGCTTTCACAGTCAAGTAGTAGCTGAAGTCATATGAATGTTATTGTAATCATGAAAAACATTGTTACATGATCATCAGCAATAATATGGCCAATATGGAAACGAAATAGCTATGTTGGTGATCACAAAAACAGTTAATTCTTTTAGAAAATAGTTCAATAGAACGAAACTTCATACTTTTTGATCCAGCAGGTCAATTATATATCAGTTTTTCAATATTCTTAGAGTACATGATTTCTCAAAGATTTACTACTACAACATGAAAACGCTTAAAAAAAAACTGGACGTTCGACAATTCATTTTGCTAACATCTAGCCACAAACTTTTGCTACGACGAAAAAAAATGTGCGCCAATTTCAGCAAAATGAAAGCCAAGCATCCGGTTTGTTACATAATTTCATGCTTTTTTAGCTATGATTTACTTGGAATAGCTCAATTGGCAAATTGCTGGGCACGTTCAAATCGATGATGCTGTAACGCTTTAATACCAGTTGCGCCATAAGGCCAACTTTTTTTTAAATCTCAGCTTTCTCAAAACGAGGCTAACCTTTTTATTTTCTCGTAGTCGATCGGCTTAACCACATACAGTTTACTCTGATCATCGGCAGTTGCAGGAATTGCAAACGTCTTGTCACTATTCGTCTCGAGTGTAGTTCCCGTTTGCAAAGTAATCAACACAGTCTCAAAATTATCTGCTCTTGCCTGGAACAACCCAATTTCTTTTCCCCTGGCTGTTCCTATAGGGTGATTCTCAGACACCGAGATATTCGTATCCGAAATTGTAAATCTCGGGGGCTTAATGTCAGAGTTAGCCAAAACTTTGATCACGACAGAAGTATTAGTGCTTCGAGGTGGTTGTCCTCGATCCGTCGCCGTTACAATTAAATCAAACTTAGTGTCTATTCGAATATCGGCGAGTTTACGACTGTTAACTGAAATATCACCGGTAATGCGATCAATCTGGAAATTTCCGCTTCGTCTCGGGTCTACTAGAGTGTAGAAAACTTCGCCGTTTTCGTTCAAATCGTTGTCGTATGCAACTACCCGAATGATCGGTTCGCCTACTTTTTTCACACTCGGTATATCCACTTCGTAATTGGAACTCGCGAAGATTGGTTTTTTATCGTTGGCGTCGATTATTTGGACAGTGATTGTGCAGACTCCGACATTTAAGTTCATGGGAAGCAAAGTGTCGTCTTGGGGGGAGTAGGTATCGGTGGCATTGATGGTGAGTGTTCGGAAGTCCCCGTCATCTCTTGATACCTTTCGAAGCAGGATCACTTCTCCGATCATTCTCACTTTGCTTTCTGAAGCAATATTAAATATCCTTGTATATAATTGTTACAAAACATGCAAGTTCATTGTGAGTACAGCTTTTGCCGACACTTCGAAAAATTCTCTGGAGAGTCGGAAAGCTTCTGTATTAACGAGAAAACACCATTTTTTATTATTGAAAGTAAATCTGTAAACTACTTTGCCAGAATTCATTTCTGTAAAAATTGCAAATACCGTTGCACAGAATTTGACTTCATTAACTGTACAGACACAATGTAGCTATGTAAAATGTATCTATGATCTTAAACAGATAGGTTGAGTGCAAGAGTTCTAACCGAGTTTTATAGATACCGAATAGATAAAAGTCATACAGATAAAAACATGAGCTGGTTGCTGTGCAGTTAGCACTGATTTTCTTACCACAATAATATAATACATAGAAAAAAGGATAACCGGTTGCTGTGCAAGCAAGTAGCGCATAATTTTCTGACCATTTCATTGAAAAAAAAATTTAAAAAAAAAGATTTTCTACCACAATAATAAAATACATTAAAAAAGGAGAACAGATTGCTGTGCTGCAAGTAGCACATAATTTTCTGACCATTTCATTAATAAAGTTTCGCTTTTAGTGAGTGGTGTGATTCGAGAACTATACCATCGCGTAGAAAAATAGTGAAGTAGGCATGATCGACAACATTTGTCTTCAAAAAATGAATACTTATTAAAACACATAAAAAAACAACTAAAAAATAATTTTGCACAATAATTTTTTTTGGAAAAACCGTCTTTGCCAAATAAGCGCCAAATGAAACATCAAAAATAGTTTTTTATTGGTAAAATCAAACTTTTTATCGTAAAGGTCTAAAAAAAAAATTTCCATACAACGAGCGTTAATCGATTGCGTTACTCGCCCAAAATTAGACTAAATCTCAAAAACCTCAAAGCAGTTTTTCTTAACTTTGAAAAACTTTTCATTTTTAGAAAATCTTTCATGTTAATCGAATCACGACTGACATGGCTTTAACATGATATAACAAATATAAATCTATCGATTCAATCCGGTGTTTATTTGTGGAACCTGATTTTGCATGGAAATAAAAAAATAAAAACACACCCGAATACAAAGTTCTTCCCATTTTCAGTAGTCGGAACAACCAGGGCAGTAGAAGTGTTTTCAAATAAGCTGCAAAATATCCAAATACAGCTTAAATACGTTTAAATAGGCTGTAAAATTAAATTGGTACTAACACTTGCTCTCCACTGTAACGGTAATTTAGTCTGAAAAATATAACTATTCAGACCAGTATGTCTCGGCAGTGAGAACCTTTTCAAATATGTTTTTTTTTACAGAAGCAAAGGTCAGCTACGCATTTTTGTGAGACAAGCATGAAAAACTATGATTGAAATAAAACAAAAAAAATGAAAAAAAAATTTGAAGTTGTTGTCAATAAAAAATTTCAACAAAAGCCCAAAATATCAGGAACAAAATTGCCTGCACAAAAATTTAACAAAAAAAGCTTTCGAAAAGCTAGAAGAAACCCAAATTTTGAAAAAAATCATTTCTTTGGAACTAAGCATACAAAAAATGCAGACAGACAATAATCTAAATTAGCCAAAAATTTTCTATTTGTAGAAAAACACAGGTCTTGACTGGAATCGAACTCCCAGGCTTTGTTGCAACAGTTCGGAAGAAAGCTGAATCTTTAAAAAAAAAGTCGTACAACGGGAGCTCAGTCAGCAAAAAAAACAGACGGACGATAGCCCGAAAGCACAAAAACTCTAGTTTGCAAAAAAGGTCCCGGTTCGAGTCGAACGGCAAACTTTTGCGGTCTCAAGCAGCTGTTTTACTTTTACGTCAGATGCACCGGATGGTTCATTCAATTTGCACTTATAAAAACTAAGCGTTAACAAAGCCAAAAATTCCTGAGTAAAAACCTTTCATGCTGAAATTAAAATATATGTCCCTTTTCCACTCAGAACACACGCACGCACAAAAAAATACTTTTTCGATCCCCAAATGACGCAATAAGAGAACACTAGATCGATATAAATTAAGCTGAAACTTATCAAGCCGATAAAAAAAGACCAATTACAACCAATGTAAAAATCAAATTTGGTTTTTACAATGCTAAAACAATTTAAGCAATCACAGTGAAGACTGTTCACAGCAAAAAAGACAATTCTTAGATGTAGCAACTTAGCCGAAAAAATATAAGCAGGCAGATAATAGGTCGGAAATTTTTTGAACCGCACTATTTAATATTTGAAAAAAAAAAAAACAGATCCTAGTCAGATTCGAACCAAACACCGTTGCCGTATTCAGTTTCTCCAGGCTAAGTGTACAGGAGAACCTAAGAATTTTGAACTCAATATGAACCAAGGTACCACTAGGAGTCCAGATGAGTCCTCTGAACAAAGTAGGTTTTTTCAAATGTTTAAGTTTTTTGTTTGGAGGACGGAGAGGGACTGCATAGTTGATTTGAGGTCTCAGATGAAACGATTTATTTAAAAAAATAAATAACGAGCTACAATTCATTTTGTTTACTTGCGCTCCAAATGATCTTATATTTTCATTTTTCTTTAGTTGCCAAAATATCAAGAGATAAATCTGAAAAGCAAAGATATTCAGTACAAATTGTTCCTGAACAGATTCTTTTTGTATTACTTGTATTTGATTGGTTGGAATAGTGTCTGGTACTTACACAGCAACCGAGTTTTGGTCAGTCATATTGTTTGAAGCAATTTTTAAAGTTCTTTTTTGCCATTTTTCGTTTGTGTTTGCCAAGGTGTCTAACCTTTTTAGTCCTTAAGGTTTACCACACTATTTCATCCCATACGTTTTTTGATTTTTTAATCGGGGAAAAGTCTTAAAATTTGTTCATGCTTTTTTTAAATTTCACCTCCGGCTCCTGGAAACAGACGGAAGGGCCTTACTTCTCCATTTTGCCGGAGCTATTCACACCTTGAGGAGGTGGGTGACATTGAAAACACTTCGACCGTGACCGAAGTGAGATTTGAACCCACGACCTTCGTGCTTAAGGCAGCACGCATTTCATCAACTCGACCAAAAGCTCCATAAAAAATCCTTCGCACGTCATGATTAAGTAAAAACAAAAAAAAAACAATTAAGAAAAAGCATAACGTACAACGGAAAGACAAAAAATTAAACTTTTTCTTTTTTCCATTGTAGTACAAGCGACTTAACTTTTTATAGACACTTACAATCTTCGGTTTTTTTAGTTAACAAAGTTTTTCCAATTTGAAGTTTTTGAACTTACTTTGGTTCTGGTCCTCCGCTCTCTTTTGTCTGATCTGGAACTCTGGCTCTGAGTTGGAGCTGGCCAAAAGTGCCACTAGTCCATACTTCACCTGACCATACCTGCCACTGTCCTCATCTATGGCCTCCACTTCGAAAACGACACTACCCACTTGAGCTGACTCGCTCACCTAGAAAATTGACCAAATTTGAAAAAAAAAGATAAGTTGAAAGCTTAATGTCCTATTTTTTTAAATTATTTGAGACACGAGAGAACCGAAAGACATAAAAGCTGTTCGTGACTTTAGGGAAAACCTTTGTTTTCTCCGTCTTCTGTTACTGTATAAACATTTTGCTCCGACTTTCGAATACAGTAACGGAATATTTGTGCTCCGAGTAATTTTTTCTCTCCTTACTTTTTGGTGAAGAATTTTTACATAGCTTTTAATACTATCTGAAAAAAAAATTGATGCGTGAAGTTAAAAATAGACAAATATTTCACACCTGATCATTTTTCGCAAAACCATGGTGGTTTGAAAAAGGTCGATTTGGAATAATTATTGCTTGCGAAATTGTTGGATTTCTCTTGTTGCTTAAATTAGGTGGCAATTGAGTTTACAGGGAGACCAGGAACTGAGTTGATACGAAACAGCATACAGTTATCATTCCTCCATGCATTAACAGTCGAGAAAAAAACTATAAATTTTGCTTTGTTCAAGTCGTTTAGTCTCTGTTTTCTGCCTAAAAGTCCGCGCTTTCAGGCTCAACATGATCCGTGCTTGTTGCTTGAGGGCGAAGAAACCTTACCCAGTCCAGAGTAGACCAAAAACTTTGCATACACTTCTTAATCAGGAACACAACAGCGGTTCTCCGAAAAAAGTTGAACAGCTCGTATAATGGTAATTTCCCTCGAGCGAAAACTTTTAAAATCTCATAACTCGGATTTGCGCACAATATACATCTATGCCAAACTTATACCTGTAGAAGAACCTAAAATGGTTTACTCAATTGCTTGTATACTAAATTTCACTGTACAGATGAAACTGAAATATATGCAAACTGCAAGACTGAGAATTAAAATTGCTAAAACAAAGTTGAATTGTAGTAGTACAATAACGTTTAAAATGTACGGGAAGGGGATCAGCCTCTCCCGAATTTTTTATTATTTTGTTTGAAAACCTGAATAACTCCACTTTTACGAACTCCTAACTAAAACTTTAAAAGGTTTGCTTACTGCTAAAAACGTTATGTAACTAACCTGTCTAACTCCATCACAATTTTTGAACATGGGCTTATGATTATTCTCCTCGTTAATTTCAATAGTTAGAGGAGCAAACGCCTCTTTCTTCTCGTCACCTCTCGCAGCTGTGACGTCATCCACAGCTCTGATTCTCAGCTTGTATTTTGATTGGCTAAGAGCAGATCCTGATTTTTTCTTTACAATTCCGGTTTCCTCGTTGATATAAAACGGGTTATCAAAGGTCGATTCTTCAAAATAGAATCGAATTTTATCTGCTAGACCGTCCGGGTCAACCGCATCAACCTTCGCGACAATTGTTTCATCAGTTATTGACTCGGAAACGCGTTCTGAATACCCACCGTCCGCATCGGTATTCACGAAAACCGGCGGCTCGTCAGCTTTGTTCACGAGTTTTATCTTCACATGTGCAGTTCCAGTCAACGGGGGTCGTCCCCCGTCTCGAGCAACGAGCGTGAATTCAAACTGATTTTGATTCGTGTCTTCGAAGTCTAGTTTGGATGCAACTTTGAGAGTGGAAGTGGCGTTGTCGAAAAAGAATCTGGGGTCGGTGGAGTAGATGGTGATTTGGTTGTTTGGCCACGTAGTGTCACAATCAGTAGCTCTAGCTACAATACAAACAAAAACAAGATTTTTTTCTGGAGTTAATGGTTTTTTTTCAGGACGATAACATCCAGTGCATGTGAAAAAATCTTCAAAACAAAATGACACCGCTTTAACCATTTTGAGTACCTTTTTTGTACAAGGCTGATGCTTTATGGATTTGGGGCAAAACCACTAATCATTTTTGGCAGAAATCTAAAATTGACACGCAGGAAACCATTAGAATGAATTGGCAATACCTGTTAGGATAGTTTGGCCGATGGGTGCAATTTCGGACAGTTCGGGCACAATGTAGACTGGCTTATCGAACGAAGGCGCACAGTCGTTGCTGTCTGTTACCATCACCTCCACCTGAAATGATCTGCTCAAGTAACTGCTCCAAGGTCAAAGAGAATACATTTCATTAAGTAGACATATCGTAAGCCAATCAGAATCAAGATAAGAAAACAACGATTCTGATTGGCTTACTACCTGTCTACTTTTTGCTACGTAACCCTGCCACGTAACCCTATTCAAGCTGCGAGATAACGTGCAAACAACTTAATTGAATTTTATTCGGTCCCTCCGAACATACAATAATATAGTTAATGATAAAACATCAAAATTTGATCATTTTGTGTACTCTACAGAATCAGTAGTTTTTTAAACATGTTTTTTATTTTATAAACAGAAAAACTTCCTTCAACTCTTAATTATCTCAATAAAGAAGAATAATAGACATATTTTTAGCCTCAAAATCAACAAAATCTCATTTTTGTTTCACTTACGATGACCGACGAGGCAAATCCCCCAATCTTGCTCTCACTTGCAGTCACTTGCAACTTAAACTCCCTGGAGGAGGGATCATCTGCGGCTATGTCGAAGTCAAGAGTCTGTTTGAGAGTGAGGATGCCCTGGTAGCTGTCTATTTTGAACATGGAGTTGCTGCCTGCCAGCACTTGCATAGAGTAGGCTATGGTGGCGTCTGAGAAGGAGACTGCTTTGATAGCACCGATCCTAAGGAAAAACACAACCGGTTGCTAAGCAAACAGCCCTGAATATTCCAAATACTACAGACAAACTTTTGAGAAACATTTAAAGTCTATGTTCCGATTTGACAACGCTTGATAATTGCAAGTGGAAAGAAAATGCGAAAAAAAAAATCGAAGAATAAAATGTTTTTGTTTTCGAGAATTTTAGTAACTTGGTTATTTTTGTTGAAAATTGAAGAATGAGTAGGGGTCTTTTTTGAGGAAATTGATTGGGCTTGTCTAGCCAAGAGTCACAATTTTTGAACAATCTTTTATCAATAGAAAATATTTGTGGAAAAATTTCATTACAGCTGAATCTAATCTATATCTAAAAAGATTTTTTTATGATATCTCTATGACCGTTACCCATCTGATGTCCCACAGTTAGCTTTTTTCAAACTTTTGACTGGCTTTAGTAGTTTTTTTTTAATCTTGCGAGAGATGTGAGCTTCATCTTCAATAGATAATAGGTAAAACCTGAACTAAGGTATAAAAAATAATTTCAGTCATGCTTAAAATATAGTAATTGGCGATAAAAATGTTGATTTTTGCCGTTCAAATAGGAGAGAAAAAATAATTGTACTTACTTTGTATTGACAGGGGTCGCTTCTGGAATCTCAAATTTGTAGCTTGTCTGCTGGAACTGTGGAGGTCGAGGAGCCGAGAGAATCGAGATAGTCGACTCAACAAAGTTGCCGACCTCGTCAACGATTCTAATCGGGAAGATGAACTCAGCATTCGGAGGTATGGGTGTTTTTCTTACAACTATGGGCACCTTTTCTATCTTGGCTGGGTCACGTGAGTTCGGATAGAAGAATCCGCCGGCTTTTCCGTTTCCGGCTGCAGAAGAGAGAGTCACACCAAATTCGAAGTATTCCATAGCATCTGAACAATATATTCATCAGCTACATTTTTTTAGATTATTAGTTAATCTCAAAAAAACTTGTTTCAGAGATATTATCAGGCTTGAATTGCTGCGACGTGAAACATTTGTTAGACCCACAGTCAAAATACGCGCAATTTTATCGAAGCTTATCTGATTTCCGTAAATGTCTTTTGCTTTACAAAATCTGTTTGTTCATCATGAGATCAAATTGAAACGTTCAAAATTACATAGGCAAGGTTGAATCAGAGGAAGTTAACAGATATGAGGGGAGGACTCGAGGGTAATCAAAGTAACACAAATCTGTTACACAGGCGAAGTGGAGCTTCGCACCACTTGCGATACAACACAAAAATAAACACAAAAGCGAAGCTGAGCTTCGCGCCAATTGCAATGCAAAAACAAATGACTACGATTAAAATCAAATGAAAACAAAACTAAAATTGAAAATAAAACCTTTAAGAACTCGTTTTTGTCATAAAAAAGTTATAAAAATCTAAAAGTTGAAAAAAAATTTAAAAAACCCTCAACAAAATTACTTGCACCAACAGAAATTTTGTTCGGAGTTTTCGGAAAGCTAGAAAGAAGTCCTTTCTGCGAGAACTAAGCAGGCAAAAAAGCAGACAGACTAAAATCAAAAATAGCCAAAAACTTTTAATTTGCAAAAAAACAGTTCCCGACTGGAATCGAACTCTCGGGCTTCATTGTCCCAAGCATGGGTGTTACAATAACTTGGAAAAAGTTGTTACAAAATCTGAACCGTCAAAAAAATGGACTACGGGAAAAAGGCCGACAAGAAAAAACAGACTGACGACAGTCCGAAAAGCACCTGAGCTAGTTTGCAAAAAAAACAGGTCCCGGCTGCATTCGAACCGCAAGCCTTTGCCGTCTCAATCTGTATGTTCCTTTTCGGCCAGATGGTCCGAATGCTTGATTGAAATAGAATTTATAATAGAACAAGCAGATGAGTCCAGAAGACCAGTCCTGTGAACAAAGTTACTAAAGGGGATAAAAGTCTAGTACCCGATTGCAATAAAATTGCCTATCGCAAGGGTAAAAAACACGTTGAAAAAGGTTGAAAATGAACTAGGTGAACAAAAATTTCGTATGTCTCGATATAAGTTTTTTACGGGAAAAAAGTCTAGTACCCGACTGGAATATCCTTGCTTATCGCAAGGGTAAAAAACATTCGTACAATCTCGGTATGTGTTTGATATTTTTGAGTTTTTTAGACTGATTCGGGACATAATGCGGTATTGAAAAAATATACTTTGTCCAACAGGAGAGTAGCCAATTATAAAGGTAGGTTTTCAATCATTTGTAGTTTCTCTTCTAAAATAAGTGAAGAGTGAAAATTATAGAGATATTGGAATTTTTCATAAGAACATAATTTTTCTCTTACAACAATTTAAAGAGTTGCCGCCTCTTTTGGAAAAAGCCTCGGAACCACGTCTTTCGATTGAAGTTTTCATCTCATATTAAAAAAGTTGTTTCTAGAAAATTTCAAAAAAAATTTAAAAAATGTAGAGAAAGCAAAGAAAATTCCGAAAACTGGGTTTCTTTATTGAGCACACAATCTCATAATTGGCACTTTGAACTCTCAACCTGAGATAAAAGCAATCAACTTGAGAATTGGCAGGTTTGATTGAAGTCAAAAATTTTCCAAAATAAAGTCAAAGTTTCAAAACTTCGACCTGTTTGAAGGCCAAAAACTTTTTTTGAAAAAATGGGAGTAGCCAATTATAAAAGTAGGCCTTCAATCATTTGCTAATTCGACTAAACCAATGATATCAGAGTGGACAGGATAGCTACCAAGAAAAAACCAAACAACGGTCAACAAATCAAAAATTAGACATTTCGAAAAACCATAGTTTTTTCTGTTTGCAGGTAGCCACTTATGCAGAAGAGATTCGCGCAACCTGAGATTTTAATAGATCCCAATCAGATTTTGGAGGTTAGTTCTCAAAGAAAGTGAAAGAACTTCAAAACACGGTCAAAAATCAAAACTTTTTAAAACATTTCGCAACCCGTTCTTTGGATTGAACACAATATATCAGATTTGGTAGGATGTTTTTGGAAAAAGTCAAAAAGTTTTGAAAAGCGGTATAACATCAAAAATTTGATTATTCCGAGGGTCATAATTAAGTGTGTGAAGTTGGCCGAAATCTAGAATTTGAAGGGCTGTAGGTTTTCGCAAGTGTAATAATAACCAAAACTAAAAAATTTGTGGCACGCTTTTTGCACTCAATCTTGCAATTATTTTCCCCGATCCTTGCTGGTTTCCAAACTTCACCGAATTTCTATTATTTCATATTTTCAATTTTTATTTCATATTTTCAATATGGCAAGTATTGTTTGAATTTTAAGTATTCCGAATTGTTTTACTCAGTGATTATTTTTGATGCTTTAAGACAAAACAACGGACCTGAAAAATCGTCAAGAAACGTTAGTGCCACAAAAGAGCCATGATATGAGATCAATCAGTAGTCAAACTTAAAATTAAGCTGAGAACAAAAGAGTATGCTCATTTCCATACATAAGTGACGACACAATTGAACTTACAAGTACAGGGACTATGGCTACACGCGGACCCTAAAGCCACAACTATTCAAAGAGAGCTGCCAATCAAAACTAAGCAAAATGTTTAAAAACAGTTCAAATCGGATAAACCAATTTACTTCTAAAGGATACTTTCAATCTACTTTTTCTTCCATCAAATCCTAAAAATTAACAAATACATTCCATTTAATTTATTGATAATTTTAAAATGATTTTTAAATCTTAAGATGCATTAATTGCATTATGTAAGCTCTGGTGTGAATCTAGGTCGGGCTGGGGATCGGCCAAGTTTTAAAACGGCTGTGCTTTTTCTTGGACTTAAATACCCACAAAAAGCATCTAAATTGTCATATTTATTAAAGTATACAATGAATTCAAAAGGATGACAATCTGTTAATGACAATGGGGGTAAGATGACAAATATATTTTTACGACACATACTGAATGAATCAAGACGAAATACATTTTTTTTCAATTTGGGGAAAAAATTACCATTTTTGGCCATTGGCCTCTAAGAATATATTTTGCCACTATAAATGCCACTTGAATTTGATCACATAATCTTAACTAGTGTTCTCTTTAAGTACCTTTCGTATAATTTCACATAAGGAAGATCTTTGCAACCAAAGAAATCTTTCTCGGATCATAACTCACCAACAACCAATATAAGTCTCCAAAGTCAGGAGCCAACTCTGCTTCGTAACAGGCGACAATTCGAAACACTAGGTTAAGCGGCAAACACAGATTCACGCGTACAATACCTCTCGTGCCGAATAAAATCCGAATTAAAAGACTCGCTGATTACCAGTGCCTTGTTACAAATTGGTGCCTGGTTACTAATTGTCGCCCAAAGCTACTCACCTAATGACGTCTGTTTATTAGTGGAGGTAGTAGTGGTCAGAGTCCACTGTCTCCTCTTACTCCCAACTGAGTCTGGGTCATTCAACAGCAGAGTGTACACTGTGTCCCCCACTGACAGATTGTCCACTGGGTATGCACTGGCCCTGAGAGGGAGGGGGTTGAGGATAGAGGGAGGGGAGTCATTCGTGTCCTCCACTTGCACTGTCAAGTTCACAGACTTGATTTCTGAAAAAAAAAAGAATATTGGACGATTTTAAAAATATGTACTAAACATTCCTTATGATGTCTCGGACTCAAATGCGAGATTCAAATGTGAAAAAAATTCGAAACTTTAAAATGTGTTTCTAAATTTTAACCAAATCCCGACATATTTCTCATTACTTACAATTTCAAAAAAACCTCTTGCAATTTTTTTCCTTCTGTTGATGTTCAAAAAAATGATGTGATGGAGTTGCTACCTTTTTGTACATCGTAATCCTTGTCGTTTTCGAACACCTGCAACATCACCCAATGGTGTCTCTGCTTCTCATAGTCCATCGGGACAGTTGAGACCAGTTTGCCAGTATTCGCCTCCACTCGCAACTCCCCATCTGCAGGGGACCACATGAACCTAAAAAACATGAATTCTTTTTTTTAATATACAGGAAATCTATCTAAATTACATAACAATAGTATGTTTAATTGCAGATGCATTTCATTGTTATAGTCACTGGAAAGCTTTGAACTCGTTTGCAGATATCATTTGATATCAAAACGCTAAAGATAAAAAACCAACGAGCTCGTTGTTTTTGGCGGCCATATTTTAAAAGAATTAAAATAAAAGAAACAGATTTTAATGTATTTGGCCATAGGTTACCATTATGCTCAGTATTAAAGCATTTGAAATAATGGTTAGGCGTTATCTGTGACAAATCAATGAAAGTGCGTGAAGATAGCGACCATTCTTGTATCACAAGGACCGAAAGAGCAAAAACTTTCAACGAACCAACTTCCTTTAAATTGTCCAAGGCTGATTGATACTCACGCTTAATTCTTTCAAATTTTTTAATACTGAATTCTGATTGGCTAGTCATTTTTTGTGCATTCGGTACTTCTGACAAAAATTATTCCCCTTCTGCCAACAAGTTCTCTTGTTACATCTGTCTTCAGACTTCAATGCTGGTAACAAAAGCTATAAGCAATTGCTTTTGAATTGCTTTAGGCAGAAGAAAAAATATTTGTATGTCCTTATGTAATCTTCAGTACGATCACCTCTCCTATAGATTGAAGTGTGTAATTTGTTAGAAATGCAGCTGCCTATTGGTTGCAATCCAAAAAAAAATTATCACAAGTGGGATTACTTTTTGTTTTGTTCTTATTATCTAGTGAAACTTTTTTAATCTAGGCAAAATTTTCGCAGACAAACACCAAAAACTAAAAGTAAGACCCCAATTAGTTTTTCGTAAGCAAATTAAGATTAAAAAAATGCTTCTAAAAATTTAGAAATGAACACAGAAGAGCTTCGTGTTACTAGAAATACATCATAAACAAAGTATGGCAACCTAGCCGAATGAAAATGATACGAACACCACTAGATAGAGAAACTGTTTAAAAAAAAGTCGGTAATAACTAGTGACAGCAAAATTTCTGTACGGTTGTCTGGAATGAGGTTTATTTGACAAAAACATTTCGAGAAAGACATTTCACCCAGTCGTAATGACATTGAAAAAAAATCAGTTGACTAAGCCGACAAAACTTGATTAGACACCAGGTGAGCCGAACAAAAATTGTTCTCGTTTAAAAATTTTGAGCTCGATTGTTCCAGGTTTCACATAACCTTTCCCTTTCCATGTTCAAACACGCATAAAAAACCATTTTTACCAATCAATCAGCACAATTTAAGGCAACCAAGCCGACATAACACAAGCCGAAGCCTGCTACGCCAAATCAACAAATTGAGCAAAAATGCAGAAAAAGGAAATTACAAAAAATCGGAGCTGGTTTACAAGCAGCAAAAAGAAAGAAACAAAATTTCTATTGAACGGTTATTTGGAATGCATGAATGCTCAAAAAAGCCTGTTGGCAGCAGCTAATCACTGAACAGTTAATAATATAACCCAATTTGTTCTTAAAAATCGGTCTTAAGAAATTTTAGGGATTTTCATTTTTAGATGTATTGAAAAAAGATACTGGTTTTTGCACGCTAGCTGAGCCGGAGATATGCAAGACTCTCCAGAAAAAAAATGAGCAACTGAGAAAAAAGATACAAGCTCAGATGTAATCAAATAAAAACTCAATCGCTTTAATACTATTCAATAAGTACAATTTTTTAATAGCCTTCAAATTTTTTTTAAAAGAAGGGTGTTCGGAACATAGTCAGCTATTTGCATCGCAATCTCATTCCTCATTTTTTTATATATTTCTTCAACAAAAAATAAACAGTTGTTGGAACATTTCGATAATTTTTGTTATTTTATTTGGTCTAATTTCAATACTCCGCTTTTCCAACTTAAGCCTCATTGAAGATTGTAAAAAACCTTATATGCACATTAGCTGAGTCTGATAGTTACACGAGATTTAAACTTTCAATCTTAAAAATGCAGAAATTGTTCCAATAACTTAAACTAATATGATTTGAGTTTTTCATAGAAATAATTTTTTCTATATATTTCAGACAATTATGCTAGTCAGTTAAATAAACACAGCTTGGCAAGCTAGCCGAAAAAATGAGACAAAATTTACTTCATTAGCAAAAAGAGAAAATAGCGAAACACACAGATCTCTCAAAATTTTCATTTCACGATTAGCCTCGAAATAAATTTCATTGAGAAAGACAATTCTTAAGGCTGTGCAAGAAGCAAAGAATGTTCTGGACGCAGTAAAAAAAATCAATTAAAATCAATTTTCTCTAATTTTTTCACATCAAGAAAAACGAGATTAAGAACAACATTTTAGAAAACACAAAATTTAGAAGCGCTTTTAAGAACACACACTAATTGGTTTATTTCAATTAACAAATAAAACACTTGAACCCCTATAATTTTTCTATCAGGTAGTCAAAATCGGCTGGTTAAAAAACACGCCCTAAGCCATAGTTTCTTCCCACTTCATGAGGTGGTCTCAACAATTAGCATCGATTTGAAACTTACGGAGAGCGTAAATTAGGCCGAAAATAATAAGGGTGACTACTCATTGAGCCAAAATAAAAAAAAATAAGCATTAAATGTTTAAAAACTTTGAATGAAAATCTTTGTTAGAATGAACATATACTAATAAAAAAGACTATTTTTGCCCCGCAAATGACGCAATATGAATTGCCGATATATTATAAGCCTATTGAGCCTTGAGAATCTTTTTAGCCGAATAATCCTTTCATTGAAAACATTAAATAACACTAAATCGAAAGTGGTAAATGTAGAAAAAAAACAATTTGAACTAGAGGGGATATTTAAAATGCGAACATGCTCAAATTATGTCTGTTTTTGAACAACTCTGTTCAGCTGTAAGTCCGCAGAGATGAATCCTGTGAGCAAGATTTTTACAGGAAAAAGTCTAGTAGCAGCAAACTGCAAGGGTAAAAACTTTAGTAGCAAATCGCAAAGCTAAACAAGGGTAGCCGGTTACTGTGCAAGTAACACAGAATGTTCCGACCATAGTCTTTGAAAAACACCAAATTTTTTTCGAATTAGTGCTGTGATTTCTGAAAAAGGATCTGATCAATAACTAGTAATTAGACACGTTTGACAGTCATACAAAAACAGGCAAATCGGAAAACAATTTTTGACAGAGAGTCGAAACTGAGTTTCACACCACTTGCGATACAAATATGAATGTTATGAAAATCAAACGGAAAAGTTCAAATTATCCTCCAAAATTTTCAATTTGCAAGATAAACAAGTCTCAACTGGAATCGAGCTCCCGGGCTTTTTCGTCTCAAGCATGGAATGAAGATCAACCATCGAGCTACGGAAACTAGGCCGAAAAAAAAATTAATAGAAGGACGATAATCCGAAAAAGCACAAAAACTCTAGTTTGAATAAAAGGCCCAGCCGAATTCGAACCGCAAATTTTTGCCATTTCAAGCAGTCGTTTTAATTCTACGCTATATGCACCGGATGATTGATAGGATTTGAATTTATAATTACCAAGCGGTAACAAAGCCGAAAAAACCTGAGCAGAGGCCCAAAAAAATAGGAAAAAAATCGTTTAAAATGTCACGTCCCTTTTCCCGTTAGAGCACACACACTCGCACAAAAACTTTTTTCGGACGTTACGAGGCAATAATAGTCCACTAAGTCGATATTAATTAGGCCGAAATTCATTAAGTCGAAAAAAAAGACAAAAAAAATGAAAAACGAAACTTTAACAAATCGAGCTGGTTGAATTACAACAAATGTGAAAAAGCAAGCTTTGATTCGGCCGGATTTTTAAAATACTAAAAAAAATGCAGCTAAAACTGTTTAGAGCTAAAAACTGAACAAGCCGACAAAACATGAGCAGATAAGTAAAAAACCAAATTTTTTTGCACCAGAACAATTACCTTTTAAAAAGCTGGTCCTGGTCAGATTCGTACCCAGTAACTTTGCCGTCCCAGGCGTATTCGTTAGCACCAGGCTAAGTGTGCAAATTTCGAATTTTTGATCTTTTGATTCCCAAAATGGCGTTAAAAACTCTAACTAAATTTACTCGAGTAAAAAAATTAAGCATAAATAAGCTTTTGTAAACGGCTTAAATTAAGCAAAAACAAGTCTGCTCGCACGCTTTACTCGCTCAAAATTAGACGAAAAATCAAAAACTTCAAACCGGTTTTTCTCGACACTGGCAAACTTTTTTTGGAAATTTTTTGATCTATCACTCATCCCAGTCCGATGAAGATTTGTGGTACCTGATTCAGCGTGGAAACAAGAAAAAAAACTAAAACACTTAAATACGAAGTTCCTCCCCATTTTCAATGTTCGGAACAAAAAGCGTAAAATCAGTAGAATGCATTGTCAATAGACTTACGTGTATGATTTTCCATTTGAAGGGAGATCCAATTCTCGGACTAAATCCACATCAACGTACTCGCCTTCTCGCACTGTGAATTTAGTGGTCATAGCTCTTCTATTTCTCAAATGAACAGCCTCTTGTCTAACTTCGCGTTTTACTCGTACTCCTTGTTCGACTATGTTCAAGCAGGCTAACTTATGGTGCGATAGGTTGAGTTTGTTTTAATCAAATCTTTTTGTTTGAACGATCTGACTTGAAAATTTAGTTTTTTGTTTGTGGATGCATCAAAAAATGTATAAAATACATTGATTTTCCACGAGTTGTTCGTTTAATGGCATAAGTAACTTTTACCAATTTCTAGAAAATTTTTAACCTTTTTAGTATAGTTTAGTAAAAACATCTTGTCAGGTTTTTAACAATATTTCAAAAGAAATCGATATACAGCTCAAAAATTTCTTGCCGTGGTACGTCAGAAAAAAAATTCTATATATAGAAACTGACCATTTTTTTGTCACACTTCCAAGTTTGTATTCGGAAAACGGGATTAACTATCGCTCTAAGGGTATCTGCTTGAATTTCATTCCTTCATCAATTTTGTCGAAGCAGAGGCTTTGCTGAACATTGATTATAACTTCAGCTGCGTCAATAACATCCGAAGTTTTCGAATCTATAGAGAGAACTTGGAAAATGTAGTTTTTATCACATTCTATAGCATCAATGTCAAAAGCCTCAATAGCCCAAGATTGTCTTTCGTTTCGGTTATAAGTAAAACCAAAAGGGTTCTCGTCAGCGTATCCGTACATGTCATATAGAGCTAGAACGGTCCCAGGTAATGGTAAAAAGTTGATAGCTGTAACCTTTGGTGATAATTTTTGAGTAAGTGTTCCGAAAACTGGATTGGTCAAAAACACCTCATTTGGCTTAGGATCCACAAACTCAATCGACCAGAAGAAGAAAGTTTGATGATAACTGCTAGTTTCAGATGACGTAAGATTCAAGAAATCCGAGCATGAATAGCCCGGGTTCTTTTTCAAGGTCAGGCAGTGATTTTCAATATAGTAACTTCCATGCAAGCCGCGCTGATCTAAGTTGAAGTTTTTATCGGGAACGGGAAACAAGCATGTCCCGCTCGGGGCTAAAGTTGACACTCGTGATGCACTAACTGAAGATGCTAATAAAGTTATCAGGGTACAAAAAACGAAACAAACGACAGACATTTTGATCTTCATGTCTGACGGGTGAAAACCCCGGTTTCGTCGACACCACGGGAAAACTCCAATATCAATAATAAACAAAAAAGAATCAAAAACATAGAAGATTTTGGCTATACGCGGGCGTTCATATTCTACAAGAAAAGAAGGGTTTAAAGAAAATTCACAGCCGCAAGTTTAAATCGAAGTCTACAAAGGGGAAATAAATTGGTCATGGCGGAACAAATTTAAACCTCAATTCTGGGCTAAATAGTTGGTTTTATCTTCAAATCTGCCAATGGTATTACCAATTTTAGAAATTACCGATTCGTTTTCTTTATGCTACACCGAAACGTTATTGCAGAAGCTTGGTAAAAACATGCCTATTAATCCAGTTCGCAATAGTTTTCGTTTCGAAACATAAGAACGGAACTAGGAAATTCAGGAAGCAATTTAAGAATTTTATACCAGTGCTTGACATTCTAGGGAAATATTATAGGCAAAATACCTTAACCAAACATTGCCGAAATCCAGAAAAATAAGACATATAATTTTCCCTGCGTTATCAGCCAGAATCATTCAACTATGTCCAATTTTGCATGCGTTTGTCCCGAGTCCAAATTTCCTGGTTTGCTTCTAGGAATCCTACTGTTTAACTAGAGTCTACACGTACCTGTTATTTCTTATAAACGGTTTAACTGGAATATCGAAAGTACAAAGACGGAGTTAGTTGAATCAAACCTGTGTCATTCTTTCAATATGAACCTACAGAAAATCTGGTTTCTGAGAGAAACGGAGCAAAATGAGGTCCTGTAATTCAGACCGGCTGCAGGTTGCCATGAAAGCTAAATCGCACCAGGCATTTAAGCCGTTGCCGTTATGATATGCACTTTCTCAGCTCAGTTATATCATTCATTTTGGAAGAAGGTTAATAGTTAGTCTTCAAGAGAAACCAAATAATTGCATGTTTTGCTGTTGGCACCTTCCATAAAAAACAAATTGTATGCGTTAATTGAAGTTCAAAATTCAGACAGCAGATTCAGTAGCGGATTTAGGGGGAGGAGGTAGGGAACTCCCTCGTCAGGAATTTGACTCCATGACTACTCTAAGTGTCCCCCTTTGGTACTATTCACGACATCCATTTTCAGCTATCCGATCCCGATTTAAAAAAGGGTCGCGCGATGAAACACGTAATTTTTGGTCAAAATCTTCCTAGAAGTGCTTAAAATCTCGTCAAAATTTCGCCTGCGATCTTTCTAGAAATTAAGGAGAACTCGGAAAATCAAATAAGTCGACCTAAAACAAAAACAGCCAGCATAAGTTGCCATAAGCCGAAACCATTCTAATTGAAAACAAAAATGAATTAAAACTACCTCAAAGTGGGTGTATTGACGAAATAACAAGACGACGGGGCAGCACAGAAACAATGCACATTAAAAAAAGACAACGGGCGTCGTAATCTGAATAACGTAGCACCTGCCTGGACATCTCCATTTAGTGATTTTCATCGGAAAAAAAACACCAGCCTCGACAACACTAGCTGAACAAACAACCCCAATTGACAACTTTATGATGAAACTCAAACACTATCTGCCTCGGAGCAAAAAAATGTCAACTTAACCACTTCTAAAAGACTGCCGTCTGCCACATATGCGCAACCACCAAACAAAACCTCAAGTCGAGATTTACCAACAACACAATGGCAACATCAAGAAACACCTTCAAGAAAATGACAATGTGCCACAAGATTATTACAAAGTCAAAGACAATTCATAAAATGATTTTAAAAACTATATTACTAAATATACTACTATAACTAAAGGTCTCTCAAACTCCTGAAATAGCTGCAGAAGAAAATTCTCTTTCAGAAAATCATGACGTATTCTTGCGTTAATCCGCTGAGGATAAATTACACAACTGAATCGCTATCTGTTGAGGCCTCAGAAAATATCGGAACAAATGTCTGGACTGTAACGCTAGTCCACGTGACATATACCACCTCTTTGATTTTTCATAAATTTTACAAAAAGTGGGAAATCCCTGTTGAAATAAAAATGGTTCAACTTAACAACAGAACGAGTTCGCACATTAGACAGTTTCCCGTTTCTCAGTTATAATTTAAAACTGCCAGCTTGAACTTTGCATGAGAGTTTTGCTCGGTTCTCCTTAACAGAACCTTCCTCCTGGAACAAGCTTTACGCAGTATAGTTAATATCTGATCTATTATTGCTCCGTTTTGCCATCAATTGTGCAGAAAACGAGCTGAAAAACTATTATTACTTGGAGGCAAATCGAAGCTTGGCACCACTTGCAATAACACAAAGAAAGCATTGTAAGCCATTGGTTCAAAAATGATAAGGTAGCTATTATTAAAAAAATGAATTGAAAACGGTGAAAAAAAACAACAAAAATTTCATGCATTTTTCTCAAAATATGTATGTTCAATTCGATAAAAGCACAAATGTAAGGTCTAAAGCACGCATAGCAATGGAAGCTAGCGAACAGATGCATAGGGTGACGCAGCTTCTTTTGAAGATGAACGTTAGAGGTATAATTGAATTAACTCCTTGCGAGGTTGGTTAATTGAACAAAAATTGGTGTTAAGTAAGATTGGACCTGATATTTACACACCTCGGTTGGAGATACGTATCTTGATCTTGGCATTTAGCACTAGTAGTACCATCGCAGGAAAATTGGTGTAGGACCTTGCGGGGACCTTTTTGAGGATTTCTAACTAACACTCAAGTATACAAACAGCAAAAGATTTACGGATAGCCAACACTTGGTAGAAAAAACGCTTAAAGAAAGATGGTTTGGCTCTCAATTAGAGCAAACATTATCAGATAAAGCTTGAGGAAAAAGACTCAGCTAACTGATTGTATCTCAGTTAGTGATTTTGCGAGATGGTGAATTGGACTTACCCGAGATTAGATTCCGGGTAATTGCAATTAGAATAGTTCCTGAGGAAACAGTTGATAAGTAGTCGAAACTGCGTTGAAGTACCGGGTTACATTAGTTGCGTGAGCGAACTAAATTGTCGGAAATTCTGAGTTTGGAGTCGAATCAAGTGAGGATCCCTGAGCTGTTGTCACGACGCAGCGATTTAACAGAACGGCAAGAAAATCGTACCTCATGATCACAAAGCAGGCGCTTCACTTAAAGATCAAGTGGGAATTAGCCTGGAGGTTGTTAAGGTTTCATAGAAAAAGCTAGTCCAATCAATTTTTTAAGATTTGTAAGAAAGTGGTTTACGGTAAGAAAATTCCAAACTCATTGATATTTTTCGAAAAACAAAAAAGTTTGATCAAAAATTAAAAGAATGAGGAGAATAAGGCTCAAACAACAGAAAACTTCGAACTTGGTCTAAAAATTGACAATAAAAATTATAGCCAAAAGAGTTTTACACAGGCGACGCTGCGCTTCGCAAACACTAGCGAAAACAAAAAGCAGCTCAATAAAATGCTAAAAGAAATCATAGCCAAAAAAAATTTACACAGAGGTGAAGCTGCGCTGCGCAAACACTAGCGAGAGCATGCCAAAAAGCAGCTCAATAAAATGCAAAAGTAGAAATAAGTCTCAAAGTAGTAAAAATTCGGCTACGTCTCGGATTCGAACCTAAGACCTATAGATTATGAGTCCCACGCACCAACACTTCAGCCACGGCCGCTTTATTAATCAAAAGACTAGCCACAAATAAAGCAGAGAACAGATGCAATGCAATTTCCAATGCTACAGCCGAATTGCCAAATAGTTTCCAAATTGTCAAATGAGTGGACACTTTTATTTGCGAGCTAGGTTAAAAAAAAAGGTTCGTACAAATTTAGTAACCCGCTCAAGCTCTGTAGTGTGAATAAGGCAGCACAGTTGATGCTCCACGGGCTCTCTTTAGGTATTGGATGGTCGGAAAAAAATAGATGCGTCATAGCTCCAGTCCAATTGCCTACCATACAATTGATTAAAATTTCACTCCATAAATAGTTAGTGTTATTAGAAGCTATAACATAAATTATAAAAACAATTTAGTCACTGTTCTTCTATTTTTGCTACTGTAGTATTCACTGAGCTACTTACATTCACTTTTTATAAAAATTCAGTGATTGTACTTCAGTTTTCGCTTCAGTACCATTTTTTGAATCTAGTTTTTAACTTCAAAAAATGTGTTTATCAAAATATATTTTATCGATTTACATCATGTTAATAGGTACAAGAATATCAAAACCATTGCTTTAGATCCCTGCTCAACAGTTGAAACAATAATACCAATATTGTTGCAACATTGCGATGAGACATGAAATTACTGAGTTATATTGCGTGACCGTTTGTTTTCATACTAACACAATCGATTCCCTAACTCCTATTTGAACATGATCGCTTAGCATAAACTATTGTACATTGGTATACCATACTCGGCATTGCGATTGTTTAGAGATCTAATATGCAAACGTGGAATTTCACATTAAACTGAGCTCAAAACAAGCTAATGGTAATAGTCTCAAAATGGCCTTATGCGACTACTTTCATCAGGCTAACGTCATTGGCTGTTTAGAACATTGTTTGCTTGGCTTGCTGACATGTACCATATTAGTTGTTCCATTCGTCATAGTGTAAAAATAGATGTCTTACAAACTATTGTGGTTTCATTCAAGCCAGGAATCCTAAATATTCCAACAGTAAAGTGGTTAACCTGCTCAGAAGTGAAGCTTAGCTCAGGTTTTTTCAATTCAAAAAGCAATCAAGGTAATAAAGCAACTATTTGAACGCCCCTAAGAAAAGCGGGCCACTTCACTAAGCAGACATCGCTTGCGCTATCGAGGCGTGTCCGACTTATATATCGCTTCAAAAAGATTGCATAGCCTGACATAGATTTGATGAATTCATTTGACTTAAAAACGTTGGAACAAAATCGAGATAAATCATGTATTCCATAAATCCATGGAAGTGTACTGGTTGATATAAATACAAAACAATTATTCAATTTACATTATCCCTTACGTATTTATGCTTTAGATATGATATACATTAAACTCTAAATTATTAATAGTAGTAACAACAATAGCATACTAGTACTACATCTTTTTGCATGGTATCATTGATTTTACTCTTCATTTTGTCACAGGCATGATAATCCACCCACCCAGCCTTTTCACTTTAAATAATTTCGAGAATTTAAATTTGAAAAGGCTTAGATGAAGATTGAAAAGCGGAATAACAATGCCCAGTCAAAAACAATTGGCATCAACTGACTACTAACATACCTAGACAAGACTATATCGGGAAAGCGTAGAGCAAAATATATTCAAAAGATTCGAATGATGTAGAGCTTTTATTCAAACTGCAACTAATTTGAAAACTTTCACATAAATTACACAAAACACCTCCAGGAAACACTTAAGCACTTCATTTTGTCATTAGAAAAAAATTATGTTTTTTAAAATAAGATTTAAGTCTGTGTTTCCTGGAAGGTATTGCAAAAGTCAACAGTTTGGGCAAACATATTGGGCTAATATTTTCAGCCGCCGGATTGAGTGCATTAAAATATTCAAAAATCTGAACTTACTATTTGCAAGATGTAAATGGAGAGTTCTATTAAAATTATCAAACTTGCAGATAAAAAGCTCTTAAATAAGATCTCGTCACACAATGAAACTTCGCAAACATCACAATGCATGGAATCCAGAACCCAGTCATTTAAATTATCATTTCGTTCTCAGTTCTTTCTATCCATCCATTCACATCAGTCATAATTTTCTCTTGCACCAATCAGCAACCGCAACCGTCGCTGGGTTTGACTGCTTCGGTGGGCTTGATCTTGAATTCGTTGTTTTTGTCTCCGCTGGTGGCTTGGTTTCCCATGTGTTTCTTGATCTCGCTAGCCATGGTCATGAAGGCCTGCTCCACATTGGTAGAGTTCTTGGCTGATGTCTCCAAAAATGGGATACCAATCGAGTCCGCGTACTCCTAGAACAAAATTTACGTAATTAAAGCGCCAACTGACTAAACTGGATTCTGATCGTGTAACATCAGAAGTCAACGGGATCGGTAGGTCAGAATTTGAAATTATTCGGCCCACAGAAAAAACCTCAGTACAGCAAGTTACCTTTGCGGTTGAGAACTCGACCACTTTTTTGACTGTCAGGTCGCATTTATTTCCGACGAGCAGCTTCTGCACATTGTCGGATGCATATCTTTCGATCTCTTGCAGCCATTGTTTCACATTATTGAATGTGTCCTGAAAAACAAAAAGATGAATTAATCGCCATTCTACGCTGAATGTACAGAGAGCTAAATGACGAATTTACCTGCTCAGTAACATCGTATACAATAATGATACCATGAGCACCGCGGTAGTAACTGGAGGTAATGGTCCTGAATCGTTCCTGACCAGCAGTATCCCACTAAACAAACAAAATATTTTTAGAATCAGAAGAAATGTTGACCATCATAACTGTTTTCCTTTAATTTCGCCATCAACCACTAAAAGAACTTACAATTTGCAGTTTGATTACTTTTGAATCCAACTCCAGCGTCCTTATTTTCTGGAAACAACACACAATCAACTGCTTAGAACCACAATTATCTTTCTCTTATTAATTACTGATGTTTTACTTACAAAGTCCACGCCAATTGTGCTAATGTAGCTTTCTGTGTAGGTATCGTCCTGTGAACATAAAAAAATTCAATCAAAACTTCAAATTCTTTTAAATTTGGGATCAAATTAACATACCCCCACCCACCCCCACCCACACACACACACACACACAAATAGACCAAGTTAAGACCCTCCACCCCATCGTCAATATAAGTTAAATTTGCTAAACGCTGCGTGTGAAAAGCTCAATTCTGATTGGCTGAAAATTCCCACTTAGAACCAAGGTAACATCCTCCCTCCTAAATCCTCGCCCCAAAAAATTTGAGCTATAGGAACTTACCGCAAATCTGAGTAAAAGACAGCTTTTTCCGACACCACTATCTCCAATCAAGAGAAGTTTGAAAAGGTAGTCACTAAAACGTAAAAAGAAATTTTAAAAATTCCTTTGTTTTTTATATGCAACTTCTTCGGAAAAGTTACTCACTACTCTGGGTGAAGATGAGGACTCATTTTTATTCAACGAATTCTTTTAGTTTCAATGTATCTAAAAAGGTTAGATAAGTGCCAAAAAGCGTTCCTCAAACATTACCAACAATTAAGTATTTGCTGTCTTTTTTCCGAATTAAATGAGTGGGTCAGAACATATCATAACCGAAACTGGAAGTTTAGTATGCAATTGACCAGATCAAAGGAATTTTAAGTGGTTTTTACAAGAGTGCTATCGAATACAACTCTTAAAATACTTTGCTCTCTATTTTTTGACACTTATCTAAAAAGGTTAGACAAGTGTCAGAAAGCGTTCCTCAAAAATTACCAAAATTAAGTATTTGTTGTCTTTTTTTCCGAAATAAATTAGCGGGTCAGAACATACCACGGTTACCGAAAACACTGTAAGTTTAGTATGCAATTGACCAGATCATAGCAATTTTAAGTTGTTTTTACAAGAGTGCTATCGAATACAACTCTTAAAATACTTTGCGCAATTAATTTTCTGAATTTGGCTGGATTTATTTCACTTCTGTTTTTCAGAATTAGACTGTCGACTTGAGACTTCTAATCGGGTTCAAATGTGAAGGAATACTTTAGGCTTTTATCAGCATAGTACTGCAGAGAAGGTGAATATTAACTTTGACAACCTAGCTGAGTTCACCAAGGAACAAGTTTAATGCTTAAGCAACTACAGGAAAAAAAATTTCTGCAAAGCCAAAAAAAAACAAAAACAGGATAAGCCTGTTAAGTAAAGAAAGTATCAAGAAAGTCTCGGCGAAAAGAAAACTACGCTAAGACCTCGGTCTAGAAAAAAGAGCGTCATGATGGCTAAATGCGCTACCATTAACAATTTACAACTATAGTTTGGTTCTGCATAGTTTTGGAGTTTAGTTTTGCAAAAACTGCAATGATGAGCGAAAAGTTGAGATGCCCATTACGATCATGAATCTTTTTCTACGCTATGTAGACCATATAGCGAGGACAGTGAAAGGCCACCCGAATAAGTTGATGCCAGCCGACAATAAATTGAACGCTAGATTACAGCAAACAGTCATTGAATAGTTTCAAGTAACACCTAAAAACAAATGGCAGCAGTCCTGTCCCCAGAATCTTGCCAAATTTATACACCAAAGAACCAAACATAGATGATCTTCTCCACCTTGGATTAGTCAAGCAAGGTCACATATGATAAAATATTTAAACACGGATCGAATAAATTACGACTCGCAATAAATTGAAAAAGTTGAAATTAAAATCATAAGAGCTTGATGAAACAGCTTAATGATTAATAAACAAACATTAGCAGCGGAAAGGTCTTGTAACATTCGCCCGGAAGTACATATCGACGGAAAAGAAAGATAGGTTCTAAAACGACTTGCTAGCGTCTAAATACAGCTCTACATGCTTTTCACCGTCTCTGCCAAAGCCAGTTCTTTTGGTGGTCTTTCTAACATCGGGTCGACAAAAAACGTTACTGTTTCCGGCTTCGATCAGAGCGCTCTAATCAACTTAATTATATTGTGCCAGTCGGTCATATTTGGAAGTTTGACCTTGAGAAGAGCAGAAAACACTTGATTTTGGAGTGAAATTTAATTTTTCAAAATTTCGAATGGAACATGTCATGCACGATTTTCTCGCGATAACTGAAAATCAGAAAAAGAAATGAGAACAATTTTAGAACAATTGCGGGAAAGTTGTCAGATAAAAACAAGTGGGAAATTGCTATTCGCAATTTCCATCATAGTGAACAAGAGTAGAGCTGTCCTTGTGCCATTCCGCCGGATGACACAGCATAACCTTCCCGCGACAGAAATAAAAGTGACTAAAGGCCTTATGAACAGAAAAGTGTTGCGACGGAGGGTCAGAATGTTCTGGAATTTTTATTTTTAAAATTTCGATTTGAAGGAGAACATTTCTGAGAAATAGAAAAAAGACGGCCATTTTGAATAAAATAGAGAAAAACAGAACGACGCCATATTTTGTGACGAACGGTTGTATCCGAGACGAGAAAATTACGGAGCCTCTTATCGTGGCAATAACACACGATAAGGACCTTAGTGACAGATATTTGTGGAGACGGAGGCTTCGGTGGGGGGAAGAGAAATACCACGGAACCCTCCCGGGACACGAAATATAGGAGATAAGAGTGTTATCTCAAGAAAATCACGGGAGCGGAGGCTTGGTCCCCCAGAGACTGTTATATGTGAAGGGACTGTGTAAACTAGCTATAACAGTTGCTGGAATGTCCTAGATATTAATTAAACACCGATATTATTTGATATTTCAGAGTATGAGTAGATAGAGAAAGGAAAAGGTCAATCCATCTCCAATGGATTTAATATAAAACTGTCACACAAAAACATATAGAAATAGGTGGTTCGAGCCGTGTTTTTAATGACAATCACGTAGTCTGAGGATCCGAGACTCAGCTATGTGGTTGTGTTCGCATGCAAACGAAAGCTGATCAAAAGTCGTTTGACTGATGGCCTAAAAATAGTAACTTTTTACTTTGCCCTAGACAGACCAGAAAATCAACTGGCAAGGTCGAGACGGTGAAAAACGAGTGGAATTAAGGTAACTGACGCCTGCCAGTCGTCAATAGGTACTTTTTCTACGCTCCGTCGCTGTGTGATATTTGGGCGAATGTTACATAGACGTTTTTATGGCGCTCCTGGGTGGGCCTGTTAAAGGCATGAAACCATCATGATCAGCAAGCGTTTCAGCGACGTACCCTCCGCTCCGGGCGTATGCCCGAGTTAGAGGCCTTAATGACCGTTTTTGTACTAGGGGGAAGGTGCGTACCCCTCCGTCTAGTACAATTTAGCTTTTTAACTTAGTTAACACCGAAAATTCCGGGGGCCGGAGGGTTAGGTGGGAAGTCATGAACCCGCTTATCCCGAGGTCCCGGGACCAAAAACAATTAAAGAGAAAGCGTAAAACCAAACAAAAACAGCGTATAACCAAGAAAAAGCCAAAAATAAATTTATTTAAAAACAAAAAAGTACAAAAAACAGTAAAAAATCCAAAAAAGACCAAAAACAGTAAAAAAAAAAAAAAAAAAAAACATAAAGTGACAGTTTATATGTTATTTCCGGACGAGATGTGATCTGACCTTCCTATTTGTTGTTGTTTCAGATTGATTTATATCTTTCTGATAGAAAGATTGTGTGTTTTGGTGAAGGGTTGGATACCCTCCCTCGAGTGTAATTTGAGTGTTTAAGCACGTTAATGGTGATTTTGCCGGTGACCGGAGGGTAGAGTGGCAGGCTCATCAACGTGTTCCACACTCAACAGGGACACCAAGGACAACATCCGCAACGACTGTTGGGTATCGTTGAAGCAATTTTAGTATCGTTCGGGTACTATTTCCTTAAAACTTAAGTGGTGGGGGGCTCGATTGGCGCGGTCCGATTGTACCCTCCATCGATTACAAATTTCCGAGTTAAGGGTCTTAATTCGGATATTTTGGTGCAAAGGAGGGTATAGTACTATTCATTAACGACTATTAATAGATTATTATCCTTATTATATATTACTTATCTCCTCAATTAGATCCAAAAAGCACCCAATTTTGTCGAAAATCATCGATTTTCGATCAAACTATAGACCCCCAAATTTTTGGATATCCGAGCTTTTCCGAACAACAAAAAGCTTTCAAATAGGGAGTAGCTACGTAGTTCGATCCCCCTAACTAAAGAAACTGCGTGAGAAAAGACTCAGTAGAAGTTGGAAAAATCCAGAATTTTTCGACCAAAATTTTGATAATTTTCTGCAATTTGTCAATCTGTTTTGGGGATCGAGTTTTTGAGTTTTTAGAGTTAGAGCAATAAAATTTTTTGCGTTAGGAGCGTGCTAGCATAACGTGCTCGGTTACTAGAGAAATTAACGGGCAACCCTCCGAGTAGCTCCGTGGATAGAGCTAACGACTTAAGGTTTGGAAAAGGAAGGAATCGGAGGGTCCAAATTTGATAGTTTTTGGCCAAATTTTTGTTTCTAAACCAATTTTGGTCCGGTTTTTTGCATTATTCCAGTGCCGTACAGGGCTACTACGCTCATTTCAAGTATTTTTAGGCACTTTCGACCGGAATTGCGAAAAAAGTCTTTCAGATCCTACACAGGTGGTGAAAAAGGCCATTTTGACGAACGCGTTTTTGGCGATTTCTCAAAGACTAGTTATCCGATCGGGATAATTTTGGTACCACAAGTCGACGTTTTTGACCACTTTTCCGAATCGCAACCGTTTTTGGGTTGATTATTTCGGAAAAGAAAAATTTTTTAGAATTTGTTGGTTCGGAGGGTCCAAGTAACGGGCAACCCTCCGAGCGGCAGAAAATTTTATCAAAACATCTTTTTATTCAACTGGGAAGGTTGACCGTGTCAGCCAACCTAGTTTTAAGTCAGGTAGACCGCTTTCAGAGGCTTTACTGCGGTGATTTAACCCTTTTTCTTGATTTTGGGGGAACCCTCCGAAGTGACCCTCCGGAGTCAGCTAAGCCCTTTAGCAACCCTCCTTAGTGGAAAATTTCCACGAGATCACCCTAAGAAGTTGAAACAGCTCCCCCTAGAACCCTTAGCTTATTTCGACGCTTTTTGAAGCTAGTAGGAGAACCTTCCAAGTGAGATCAGAAAATTTGAAAATTTTGGAGGTACCCTCCGAAGTGACCCTCCGGAGCGTATTAAGCATCTTATTGACCCTCCTTAGTAAATTTAAGGGGACCCTCCGAAGTAACTTGGGTGATTAAGATACCCTCCTAAGTAACTTGAGTGATTGAGGTACCCTCCGAGGTAACCCTCCGGAGTGTCTTAAACCTTCTAGCGACCCTCCTTGTAAGAGACTTGAGTAAACCTTCTGTGGCAATTTGGGAAACGGAAAATATCCATTTAATAAGGATCATATTAGGATATTAGGCGTGCTTATCAGGATCATAAGAATCCATTTTGACCCGGAAATTCGTGATCAACTTTGGATTCTATATTGGGTGTATTAGAAGTACCCGAACAAGATTTTTTTTTTTTTTTGATTGTGATTTTGGTTGAGTGGTTGCCTTGAGCTACTTA